TGCTGTGTAATGAGGTAAGGGGATGAACCAGGTGGACATCTAGGACAGGTGTGTCTTAGGCTGGGGGAACAGTGAGTGCAAAGGCCCTGAGGTAGCGGCGGCCAGGCGCGCGGGGGCTGCGGGCGCAGGGGCAGCGGCGGGCGCGATTCGACTGCTCTGGGGCTCCCTCTTCGGCGGTGGCTTGGTGGAGGGGGCCAAGAAGGTGACGGTGACAGAGCTCCTGGCCGGCATGCCAGACCCTACCGGTGACGAGGTGCATGGCGAGCAGTCGGCCGGGACTGGCGACGACGCAGACGGCGAGGGCACCAGCGATGCGGCCGAGGGCGCCGGGGACGAGGAAGCCACGCGTGAGGCTGGCCAGGGCGGTGCTGACGGGGCGGTGGCCGTGGCCGAGGGGGGACCCTTCCGGCCCGAAGGACCAGCTGGAGGCCTTGGGGACATGGGCGACACGACGCCTGTCGAGCCACCCACGCCCGAGGGCTCCCCCATCCTAAAGAGGAAGCTGGGGGTGAGAGTGTGGGCGGGGGCTTTGTGCTTCTGCAGCGAAACTAGGAGTGGGGACTAGAGTCTCAGAGACACACAGAGAAAAAAATGCAGAGATGGAGAGCTGGTGAAAGGCCCTCAGTCTTGTCTGTGGGAGAAACTGAGGAAAAGACCCCTAGAGAGAGCAGAGACCCAGAGATCAACAGAGAGGGGAAAAGAGACCAAGAACTAAAAAAGGATCCACTGAGGATACAGCCCCTCAGAAATACACACGGTGTGTGTGTGGGTTGGGGGGAGCACCAAAGCTTCCTACAGTCTTGTACAACCTTCCTACAACCTACAGTTGTCAAGGTGATGGGACAATCTGGGGTGGGGAGAGAAGAGCTCCACTTACAGTCAGCCGGCTCTGAGCCTCAGTGTCCCCTCTGTAACGGAAATCACAGGCCCTCTTTTCTTCTGGTGGGCTGAGGGGTAAAGCTTAGATTGCCCCCAGGAATGAGCAGAAAGGGAGAGAAAAAAACAGAAAGCTCTGAGAAGTGCTTGGGGTGGGGGCTGCATGTCCTGATGCTTGCCCTGTGCCCCCCTAAGGTGGAAGGAGCCGAGGAGATGCTTCCTGAACCTGAGCCAGAACCAGAGCCAGAGCCGGAGCCAGAGAAGGCAGAGTGAGTGGCTTTGGAGGAGATGGGGCTTGGTCTCTCTATCACTGTCTCCCTCCTGGACACGGAGCCCTGTGAGGTCAGGGCAAGAGACTGTCCTGGTCACCCTGTATCCTCAGCATCCTCAACCCAAGCACAGAGGATGGGCTTGATGAAGGAGAATCGATACATGAATCCTCCTGCTTACCTGTTGGCCTTTGTTTGTGCTGGGTTTTCTGTTTAGAATCCCTGCCCCCATGCTTCACCAGAATCTCTCATCCTTTCTCCTCCAGGAAGCCTACCCTGACATGTCCTCTCCCCCACCCCCGATTCCCTAAGATGAAGAGATGTCATCCTTGGTCTTCTACAATCCCTTGGGCTTCTCCAGCCCAACCCTGCCCACTCTGGGCTCTCACTGCCTGGTGAACTAGGAAGGCCTTTGAGAAGAGAGCAGGGGGCTGTCTTATCATCCTATGTCCCTAGCACTATCCAGTACTAGGCCAGACATGGGGTGGGTCCTAGTGAATGGTTATGACTGAATTAATGAATTCCTGGACATTTTGTAATCTCACTGTATGTCCTACCCTGCAGTGCTGAGAATGGGGAGAAGGAAGAAATCCCTGAGCCCCCACCAGAGCCAACCAGCAAAGCACCTCCCCCAGCCCCTTCAAAGAAGGAGGAGACCAAGGGTGGTGGCATGGAATTCTGGGGAGAACTGGAAGTGCAGAGGGTCAAGTTCTTGGTGAGGATCCAACAAAAGCACGCTGAAACCTCCTCTCCCAGGAAGACGCCAGCATTTCCACTTAGCTGCCCTCCGCATCCTGTTCTTGAGCTCCACTTGTGCCAGGAGCATGTCTGAGAAGAACCCAGGCAGGGGAGAGGGCAGAGATGTCTCCAGCCAGAGCCAGGACCTGGGCACCTGGCAGCATTTTCAGCTGGTCCTCCCTTGACTCTTCATCATCCCCCTGCTCAAAGTCCATACCATTCCAACCTCCATACCTTTGCGTATCTGGACCAAACCAAACCAAACCTGCTTAGATTTCCCACCTCACCCTCTGACTGCAGCTAAATCCGTCTGAGGCCATGGTTCTGGCCCTCCCACCATGGTCTTATTCTTGACTATCAGCCTTCTGTTCTGAGTCCCTTTGTCGACCTCAGACCCTCCATGGGAAAGGGGGGAAGTCTGAGTTCTTAGGAGTCCTGGGTAAGAATTCATCTCTTCATGCAAGGCCCAGGGCTCCATCTGCCTGTCTTCTCTCCAGTCAGATGTGGACATGTTGAATAGGTGGTTCTGTGAGGATTCATGGGAAGAATGAGGGATGGAGGGAAAGGGGGAGAGCCAAAGAGGAAGAGAGAAATAGAAGATGTCTCCCGCCTGGGGTAATCTCATGTAGGAAGCTGCATGTTGAAAGTGTGGTTCGAGAGCCTTGCTGCCTGGGTTCAAATCCCAGGTCTGTCACTTTCCAGCTCTCTGACATTGGGCAAGACACCTCACGTCCCTGTGCCTCTGTTTCCTCATCTGAAAAATGGGGTAATACATAGTAGTACTTTCATAGGGCTGTGATGAGATTAAACCAGTAAAGGAATTCTTGGGTACTACAAATGGTTAATGTGCTGGCTGCTAACAAAAAGGTGGAAGGTTTGAGTCCAGCCAAACACACCTCTGAAGAAAGGTTTATTGATCTACTTCCAAAAAAAATCAGCCATTGAAAACCCCATGGAGCCAAGTTCTGCTGTAAAACACACATGAGGTTGCCATGAGTCTGAATTGACTCCAAGCACTAGTATGTAAACAAAGCACTTAACCCAGATCTTAGTATACAGTGTTGTTGTTATGTGCTGTGGAGTCGGTTCCGACCCATAGCGACCCTGAACAGGGTTTCCGAGGCTGTAAATCTTTACAGGAGCAGAAAGCCTCATCTTTCTCCCATGAAGCAACTGGTAGTTTCGAACTGCTGACCTTGAGGTTCGCGGCCCGATTCGTAACCACTATGCTACCAGCACTCCTTTTAATATACAGTAATCACTCAATAAATGGTAGTTTGTGGAACCGGGTGTTGAGGGCTCAGATGCTTTGATTGTGGGCGAATGATGGGATAAATTCTGAACCATAAACTCTCTCTCTCTCTCCCCTTGTCTTAGAACTATCTCTCTCGGAACTTTTACACACTGCGATTCCTTGCTCTCTTCTTAGCATTTGCCATCAACTTCATCTTGCTGTTTTATAAGGTATCCAGGCTTGGGATGTGAGGTTCAGCCCCCAACCAGCTCCCAGGCTTTCTACAGTGAAGGAACAGGTGTTGGGTGCGGTCCCTAGGAAGGTTTGGGTTGGTCACCTCGACCCTGGGACCCCTTCCCATGGGGATGAGTATGGATATCTGGGTTCATATCACCTGCAAGGGTTAGACATGGAACTGGGTTCCATCTATTTGCCAGCCCTCAGTGTCCACTTTCACTTCTCTGCAACATCTACTCATCCAGTTAAGCATCTTTGCTTTGCTTTTACTTAAAAAGAGAGAGAGACGGGGAGATTTGTAGAGAAGAGGAAATGGGCATCTCACAGAATGAAGGAAAGGGTCAAGAACCAGGTATCTGAAAAGATAAAAGGGCATTTGGGTTCATACCAGGGATCTAGATGACAGGACAGGGGCAAAATAGCAGAGCAGTTGAACATGGATAGGCTGGCGTCAAAGCCTGGCTCCACATCTCACCTCTGCCAGACACAGACAAGCTGTATAACCTTTCTGTGGCTCAGTTTCTTCATTGGTAAAAACAGTATCTGCCTCTTAGAGTTGTGGGGATTAGAAGAAGATTAATACGTGTGAATCAGAACAGCGCCTAACTTATAGAAAATGCTGTATATATCCTAGATGCTTTAATAGTAATGAGTCCTGGTATGGCGCTGTAGTATAAGCACTGGACTGCTAACCACAAGGTTGACGCTGCAAACCTACCAGCCACTCCTCGGAAACTCTATACAGGGTGGCTATGAGTTGGCACCTACTCAACAGCACTTAACAACAATTATTAGTAATGTTGATAGTGAGTGGTCAGTCTTCGTAGGGCTTCACTATCAAGACAAATCAAGTCCTCCTGTCATTTCAGTGCTCAAACTCCCAAGACAGAGTGATTTGCTTCCTAGGGTGCTAAGCCCACCCCTTGATCTTGATTGACAGATCTAGGCCCCAATCCACTCACTGATTTTGTTGTTTGTTAAATGCCTTGTAGAGTTGATTCTGACTCCTAGTGACCCCTGTATAGGGTTTCCAAGGAGCGGCTGGTGGGTTTGAACCACCGACCTTGCAATTCAAACCGAACTTGCCATTGTGTGCTTATCCTACAGCGCCACGCTGGGACTCAGTACCTCATTGATGGGAGCTGTTAATTTTGTTAGTGGGTTCCAAGTACAGTAAAGCAGGGGTCAGGAAATGAGTCCCTGCCTTGACTGACCTCTGTCCCTACTTCAGGTCTCAGACTCTCCGCCAGGGGAAGATGACACAGAGGGCTCAGCAGTCGGGGACCTGTCAGGAGCAGGGTCTGGCGATGGCTCTGGCTGGGGCTCAGGGGCCGGCGAAGAGGCTGAGGGTGATGAGGATGAAAACCTGGTGTATTACTTTCTGGAGGAAAGCACGGGCTATATGGAGCCTGCCCTGCGCTGCTTAAGCCTGCTACACACACTGGTTGCCTTTCTCTGCATCATTGGCTACAACTGTCTCAAGGTGGGTTACAGGCACAGTTTTCTGGGCCAGGGGCTAGGACCAGAGACTTGGTGTAGCGACTAGGATCCGAGTAAGGGCTGGGACTCTGATGGGGGAGGCCTGAGGCCAGGAAGTTAAAGGAATTGGGTACTAGACGGTGTCTTCAGCAAGGATGATGTTCAAACTGGGAACTGACGCAGATCATGGATGAGGAGATGGGTCCCAGACCACCCGATCCGTACCTTATCTGCATCTCTATGTTAATTTCTTCATCGAGAGACAGATTTTTCATTGGAAAAATTGATTTCCTGCATGTTAGTCAGTTGGTGAATCAAGATCTGTGGGGGTCTGTAGGGTCTCGGGTGGAACATCGGTACTAACAGGGTTCTGATATCAGATATGTTTGAGTTTGGTGATAGCCTAGATGTGTTAAGAGAGCTTCAGTTTGGGTTCTCTGAGGTCAGATAGTGCAAACTTGACCTTTTCCTATTAGATGAACAGTTGACTTAAAAGCGTGTTTGTGTATGCTGTTCTCTACGCCTGGGGTGCTTAATTTTATTTCCACTCCCTTCCAGTTGTCTCTGCTTCACTCACCTTTAAGGTCTGAGTTCAAACCTCTCTTCCTTGAGAAGCTTTAGGTTCCAACAGTCCCCTCCCTGAGCCTCCCCCTTCTCTCCTGATCCCAGCCCATCCACTCTGGGAATGCTTCTATGATAGCAACAACATCTAGTGGCTAATGAATGCAGAGGCTGTGGTCCCGCTGAGGTGCCTGACGCCACCCCGTGTGCCTGCTCCACAATCTAGGTGCCTCTGGTAATCTTTAAGCGGGAGAAGGAACTAGCCCGGAAGCTGGAGTTTGATGGCCTCTACATCACGGAGCAGCCAGAGGATGATGATGTGAAGGGCCAGTGGGACCGACTGGTGCTCAACACGCCGTAAGGACCCTGAACCCACTTCACGGCGGGTGAGGGGTGGGAGCTGGCTTTCCAGCTTTCTTCCCTTTAGTCCTCTCTAGAAAACAGATGTCCCTCACAACAAAGTCCCTGTGGGGGTACTGGAGGACACATGGAAATTCCTGGGCCCCAGTCCTGGGGATTTGGGTTCAGGGAGTCTGGAGTAGGCCTGGGAACCTGCATTGTAAGCTGTGCCCCACCCCCAACTATAATTCTCACCCAAGTGTCCTAGTTATCGTTGTTGTGTGCCGTTGAGTTGGTGCCAACTCACAGTGACCCTGTATAGGGTTTCCAAGAGCAGTTGGTGGGTTTGAACTGGCGATCTTGTGGCTGCTAGTTCAGTGCTTATCCTAAAGCACCAGTGGGGTATATGAAATCATGTAACTCATAAATTGGGCCTTGGGAGGGGAGTCCTGATGTGGCACTTTAGAATACTACGCTGGACCAAAATATCAGTTTGAACCACAAGGTCGGCATTTCAAACTCACCAGCCATTCCCCAGAAACCCTATCCAGGGTCACTATGAGTCAGAACTGACTCTAAGGCACTGAATGAGATGAGAGTGTGCAAGGACATTGTGGTAGGTTAAGCATTAGGCTGCTAACCTGCAAAGTTGGCAGTTCAAACCCACCAGCCACTCCAAGAGAGAAAGATGAAGCTGTCTGCATCGATAAACATTTGCAGCCTCAGAAACCCTAGGAAGCAGCTCTACTCTATCCTAGGGGGTCACTATGAGCCAGAATTGATTTGACAGCTATGGTGGGTTTTCACACATAGTGGTTCTCCATACAAGACCAGTCTCGAGCTTCAATGAAGACGGCAGTGGACTTTGGGCGAGCTGCACCTGGTGGGGATGGTATTTAGAACCTGCCCCCAAGGTAGATATGTCCCCACTGTGCAGCAGCTCCCTGGAGAACAAATATTAGAACCCAGACTCAGAACTAAGAGAAAGCATTTCCGTATCTCCCAGGCCCTGCTGGGGCTCCTGTCCCTCTCTGACATCTCACAGGGTCCCTCTGTCTCCACAGGTCTTTCCCCAGCAACTACTGGGACAAGTTTGTGAAGCGGAAGGTAAGAGAATGTGGAGGGGGACGTGGAAGGGTCTCTTAAGCAAAGTCATAAGATGCATGGCATAGAGCCTGACACACAGTTAGGACTCAATAAACAATAGTTGATGTATTCAAAGTTAACCACCACGAGAAGTTAAACACAGTATTAACATGATGTTACTGTTTTGGTAAGTGCCATTAAGTCAGTTCCAACTCATAATGACCCTGTATAGGGTTTCTGAAGAGTGGCTGGTGAGTTTGAACTGGCAACCTTTTAATCATCATCCAGTGTCTATCCTGCAGCACCACACCAGGACTCCAGAATTACCATTTATTGTTGTTGTTAAGTGCCATTGAGTCAGTTCCAACTCATAGCAACCCTGTATAGGGTTTCCAAGGAGCAGCTGGGGAGCTTGAACTGCTGACCTTGCAGTTCAAACCAACCTTGCAGTCCAGCACATTAACCCGAAGCACCGCATATGAACCTAGCAATCGCACACTGCAGTATATACTCAAGAGAATTGAGTCAAACAAATTGTTTTATGTGAAATGTTCATAGCAGCACCGTTCACAGTAGCCAAAGGGTAGAAAAGAATCCAAGTGTCCATCAACAGATGGAAGGATGGAGAAACAAAATGTGGTATATACGAGGGGCTTCAAAAAAAGTTGGTGGAAAAATGGAATTAAGATAATGGAATTTCTCCACAAATGGAAGACTCCTTGTACATACTCAAAAAAGATTCAAATTAATGCCAATAAATCTGTCTTGAAAGAAGTACAACCAGAAGGTTCCTTAGAAGTGAGGATGCTGAGACTTCGTCTCTCATACTGCGGACTTTATCTGGAGAAACCAGTCTCTGCAGAAAGATATGATGCTTGGTAAAATAGAGGAGCAGCAGAAAAGTTGGCGACCCTTCACCAGATGGACTGACAAAGTGGCAGCAACACTGGGCGGCCACAGAACCACCCCTGTGAGGGTGGCACAGGACTGGGCAGTGTTTCCTTCTATGGTCCATTGGGTCATTAAGAGTTGGAACCAACTAGACAACACTTAATGTAACAAGTTCTGGTACATACTGCAATGTAGATGCATTTTGAAAACCTTACGCTAAGTGAAAGAAATCACACACAAAGGCCCACAGGTGGCAGGATTCCACTTAGGGTAGAGGAAGCATCCAGAATCAGTAAACCCATAGAAACAGGTTGGTGGTTGTCAGGGGCTAGGGAGGAAGGGTAATGAGCCTAATGAGTCTGGTTGTTGTTGTTGTTAAGCTCCACCAAGTTGGTTCCAAGTCATCGTGACCCTGTATGGGGTTTCCAAGGAGTGGCTGGTGAGTCTGAACTGCCAGACCTTGTGGTTCAAACCAGGCTTGGAACCCACAGTGCCCCACCCCAGGACTCCCAGTGGGTCTGGGGGTGATGAAAATATTTTAGAACTAGACAGAGGTGGTGGTTGTACAACGTTGTGACTGCACTGAATGTTCATTTGAAAACCGTTAACTTTACGTTGTGTGACTTCCTCCAGATTAAAAAAAAAGAAAATTATAAGGGAAGAAGTGAGGCATAAGGTTTTCAGCGCACAGACACTGGAGCTAGATTGCTTGCTTCTCTGCTCATAGCTGGGCCAACTTTCTGTGCCTCAGTTTCCCCCATTTTCAAAGTGGGTTAATTGACACTAGTACAACCTCACAGAGTTCAGTTACCTACTACAGGTGCACTCTCTGGGGCACAGTGAGACACTGTGTAAGTGTGAGCTGTTACCATCATTCATTCGTTCATCCACCAAATGTTTATTGAGTACCTACTGCATGCCAGGAGCTACTATAGGGACCTGGGATCCAACAGTGAGCAAATCCGTGATTCTGACACTTGCTTGGAAAGCAAGGTCATAAACATATTTATAACATCCATGTGTTGATAAGTGTTGTAGAAGAAGGGGTAAAAACTGTAAAGAGTGACAGGGGATGGGGAATGTGCTGTGTAGATCAGGAAATGTGGCAGTTTTATGTAAGGTGGTCAGGGAAGGTGATACTATCTCTTTTTCAAAACCTTTTTATTGTGAATTGTGCGAAGTCTTAAGAGCACATCATCAGTTTTACCTCCAACAAACCCACACGTGTTGTTTCATTTCAATGAGTGCAATCCCCTCCATGTGACATCCCTTATCCCACTTCCTCCCTGGGCTTCTGTTTCCATGCCACCCTCCTTCCCAACCTTTCGCAATTTTGTTGTTGGGTCAATGCTGCTGTTTTCATCGTGAATGGAATTGTTGCTGCTAGGTACCCGTCTATTGCTTGGCTAAAAATTGAGCCACAGAGATGAGTTAGTTTCAGACATGAAGGGTGACCAAGTGTCAGTGTGCCACCAGACTCTCTCTGACCAGTAAGCCTGGCCTTCTTCATGATTTTGAGTTTTGTTTCACATTTTCTCCCACTCTAGCCAGAACTCTCTAATGTGATCCTTTACTTACTGGTGGCAGCTGGGCACCAATCAGTTCTTCTGATCTCAGAGACTGATTTTCATATGACCTAATTTTCACTGAACTAATTTTTTCCAAGTGACTTCAAGTTTCAAAAGGTGATGCTGTGTAATGAGGTAAGGGGATGAACCAGGTGGACATCTAGGACAGGTGTGTCTTAGGCTGGGGGAACAGTGAGTGCAAAGGCCCTGAGGTAGGGATGCATTTTAGGGACTGGTGAATTTGAGGAACTGTAAGGAGGTCCCTGGCTGGAGCAGAGTGACCGAAAGGCAAGAGGGAGGAGATGAGCTCCAAGAAGTGACTGAATTATATAGGCTTCCTTATCTCTTCATTATTAGCTACAATTAAGTTGGCTCCCATCTCCTGATGACCCCCATATACAATGGAATGAAACACTGTCTGGTCCTGCATACAATCACACTCCCATGACTGGTTGCCCATCAGACCTTTGAGATCCAGAGCGTTTTTATTGGCTGATTTTCAGAAGTAGGTTTCCAGGCCTTTCTTCCTACTCTCTCTCAGCTTGTTCAGCATCATAGCAACATGCAAGCCTCCACTGAGAGACTAGTAGTGGCTAGGTATGAGGTGCATGGGAACTGGAATCAAACCAGGTTCTCCCATGTGGAGAGCAAGAATTCTATTGCTACACAGCTCACTTCCTTGTCTAGCTGCCTTAAAATGAAAAAGGATCTCAACTCACTTGGCTAACAACAATGACTTTTGGATGCTCCCCTTGAGGAGCTCGGAAAAGTCTCTGATCCTTTTCCATAGAAAAAAATGCATCTCCAGTTTCCCACACAAAGCTCATGGGTGTCCCTGGAAGTTCCCAAGTAGGCCGTGCTGCTTAGTTAGCCCTGGCCATGCCCAAACTGCTCAAGGTTCTGCCATGCAGGTCTTAGACAAGCACGGTGACATCTACGGGCGGGAGCGGATCGCTGAGCTGTTGGGCATGGATCTGGCCTCGCTGGAGATCACAGCCCACAACGACCGGAAGCCCACGCCATCACCGGGGCTGCTCACCTGGTGAGCTGGGCGGCCCTGCTTTGAAGATCTGGGGAGGCAGGGGAGGTGGCCGGGTCGGAGTCCCTAGCATCTGGTTCTCTCCCCCATACAGGCTCATGTCCATCGATGTCAAGTACCAGATCTGGAAGTTTGGGGTCATCTTCACAGACAATGTGAGAAGCCCATGGGGAGTGTGGGTGCTAGCACCAGGTGTCCCAAAGCATAACAGCCTCCTGGGCCCCTGTCTCCCTCTGATCCTAGGGTACCCTCTAACCCCCAGAGTGTCCCTGTCACCTAGAATATCCTCTGATTCTCCCAGAAAACCAAAACCAAACCCACTGCCATTAAGTTGATGTGACTCATTATAGGTTTCCCGAGACTGTAAATCTTTATGCAAGCAGACAGCCTCGTCTTTCTCCCGCAGAGTGACTGGTGGGTTTGAACTGCCAACCTTGCACTTGGCAGCCCAATGACGAACCCCCGTGCCTCCAGGGCACCATGACGCCCCTAGAGTGCTCTGGAATTCCTAGACTACCTCTTCCTATGGAGGGTTCCCCAGCTCCTCCCAGGATGCCTTCTCCCTCCCACTATACCATCACTTCAGAGTGTTCCTGATCCTCCAAATTCTCCCCAAGCACCCTGACCCCCTATAGTACCCTCAATCCTCTCAAATGTCCCCCGGTCCTATGAATGTCCCAGATAGTGAAAACAGGCTCAAATCCTTGTACACCAGTGTTCATAGCAGCAGGGGTCACTATAGCCCAAACAGTGAAAGCAACCATCAACAAATGAATCGGTTAACAAATATATATATATATTTACATCTATTATGGTATATCCATACAATCATACAATGCAATGTTATTGAGCCATAAAAATCCAAGTCCTAAAACATGGCTGAATCTCAAAAACATTATTTGAAGTAAAAGAAGCCAGTTGTGAGTCACATATTGAATGGTTTATGTTTATATGAATGCCCACAATAGGCAGGACTCCTGGTGTGGCATTGTACCATCAGCACTGGTCCACGAACCACAAGGCTGGTGGTTCAAATCCACTAGCCACTCCTCAAAAACCCTATACAGTGTTGCTATGAGTCGGAACTGACTCGACGGCACTTAACAACGTAGAGACAGAAGCTGAATGCTCAGGCTTGTTGGCCCCCCTAGAATGCTCCCTGAGTTTGCCTGCAGGCTCCTTGACCCTGACCCTGTGTGTCCACAGTCCTTTCTGTACCTGGGCTGGTATATGGTGATGTCACTCCTGGGTCACTACAACAACTTCTTCTTTGCTGCCCACCTACTGGACATCGCCATGGGCGTCAAGACGCTGCGCACCATTCTCTCCTCTGTCACCCACAATGGGAAACAGGTGTGGACAGCATCCAGTGGAGGCTCCAGGGCAGGCGTGTGAGCTCAGCAGGGACAAGCCAGCAGGCTAGATCGGGTGGAGGGGTAAAGGGATGAGGACCAGGGAAGGAGGACTGAGTTGAAGACTGGCGAGGGGTAAGGCTGAGTGGTTGGGCTGAGCTAGGGATGAGTGTGGGGTGTGTGGCCCAGGGAGGAGGGTGAAATGGATGGACCCAGGATAAGGGCTGGCAAGGCTGGGCAGGGGAGAGGGGTAAGCTGAGTGTGGAGCTGACCCAGCCCCTTCCTGCCCCCAGTTGGTGATGACCGTAGGGCTCTTGGCGGTGGTGGTATACCTTTATACTGTGGTGGCCTTCAACTTCTTCCGCAAGTTCTACAACAAGAGTGAGGATGAGGATGAGCCCGACATGAAGTGTGACGACATGATGACGGTGAACCCCCACCCCACTCCTGCTCTTGGCACCATATCTGAGCCACCCAGATCCTTGGTTTTCCCATAAGGAAAATGCGCTAATTATAAAACTTCCCTCACAGAACTGCAACTCATAGATGTAAAGTACCAGGCACATACCTGCTCAATGACCATTAGCTGGGGTCCCTGGGTGGTGCAAATAGTTCACACACTCAGCTGCTAATAGAAAGGTTGGAGGTTCAAATCTACCCTGAGATGCCTCAGAAGAAAAGTCCTGGTGACCTGCCTCTGAAAACCAGCCATTGGAAACCCTGTGGAGCACAGTTCTAGTCTGACACACAGGGCACTGCCATAAGTTGGAATCTACTTCATGGCAACTTGTCACTGGTGAGATGTTGTTGTTACTAAGTGCCAGCTCATAGAACATGGTTCCAACCTTGTATAGGTTCTCTGATGAGTGGCTGGTAAGTGTGAACCACCGACCTTGCAGTTCAAATGACCTACAGCACCACATCAGGACTCCAGCTAGATGTTAGCCATTGTTTTAATGTTATTTGAATTTTTAAAAAGACATTGTTACTGGGAAGATAGTCTAACAGAGCACCCTGCTACTTATGAGCTGTGTAATCTGGGTCTGGCTACTCAACCTCCTGGGATCCTGGTGTAGCACTGTAGGATCGGCATTGGACTGCTGACCACAAAGTTGATGGTTCAGACCCAACATCCGCTCCTCAGAAACCCTAGACAGGGTCACACTATGAGTCAGATCTCACTTGATGGCACTTAAAACAAAAACTTGTGTGACACTGTAGGATCAGCACTGGACTGTTAGCCACAGGATCAGTGGTTCAAACCCACCAGCCACTCCTCAGAAACCCTATACAGCGTTGCTGTGTGTCAGAACCAACTCAACTGCACTTAACAACAACAACACTTTGTTTCCCTGTACCTTTGTGGGGTTTTTGTTTGTTTGTTTTTCCAAGAGTAAGCCTTTTTTATTCAATTTTGCAAAACTGGTCACCAAGCCCAGAAGACATGGGCAGATGCTCAAGAAAGTCCCTCCCCCTGTTCCTCATTAACTGAATACTATGGGGTTAACAGTCTTCCCCGGAATAACCTACTTTCCCTTGATGGTAGCATCTATGCCTTTGTTTTGTTTTCTAAAATGGGTCCATAGCAATAGTGCCTATCTCTTAGGGGTGCTTTTAGGTCTAAATGATCCTCATTGATCATCTAAGGCGTAAACGTCTTAGAATAATGCTGGCATATATTAAGGACTATGCAAATATTAATATTATGTTGTTGTTAGCTGCTGTCAAGTTGGTTCTGACTCATAACTACCCTATTATGCACAACAGAACAAAACACTGCCTAGTCCCCAGTCTTCCTCACACTTATTCTTATATCTGAACCCATTGTTATTGTTACTGTTAATCCATATCATTGGGGGTCTTTCTCTTTTGGGTTGACCCTCCACTTATCCAAGCACGATGTCCTTCTCCAGGCACCGGAGTTACTGTTATTATCTGTAATTACACGTTGCACCCAAAGTCCCAGCATGCAATGCATATTGATGTTTCTTGTTCTCTTCTTTTAATGGTCGTCACAATCCAAGTAGATTCTAACCTACTGGTGACCAGGACCACAGTTAAAAGGATCGTTTCAGGGGTTGACTCAGAAGGGGTCCCATAATTCAGCTATGGATCCCCTGCTTTCAGGACTAAGTCCAGCTCCAAATCTGGCACTTGGGCCTCAGCAGGCCTGGGTCTGGCCTATCCACAGCCTTGCTCCCACCATAGTGACTGGCCTCCGCTCTTACCCAAGATGCCCTGGGTTATCTTCTGGTGGACACAGAGAGAACAAGATTGGATTCTTTCCTAAGTTACAAGTGGGTCACTGCTCCCTTCTGCTCAGAACTTCTCATGGTTTTCAGTGTCCTCTGGGTAAAGTCCAGCCCCTCATCATGACTCATAAAACCTAGAGGAGGCAACCCTGTCTGAGTCTAACCACAATCTCTCTAGCTGCTTGGTCTCTGACCACCTGGTCCTCTTTCAGTTCCCCCAATGCTATGAGTTTCCTCTCTACTCAGGCCCCTTGCCCTGATGTTATCTCTACCCGCCCACCCCACCCCCCAAGCCTGCCTTACACACACACACCTTTATTTGACACCTCACCTTTCAACTTAAACACCACCTCCTACAGGAAGCCCTCTCTGGCCAGGTCCCATCAGATTCTGCTGCCCTCGCTCAAAGAAGCCCTATTCTCCAGTCTCTCTCAACCTCTTTCAGTTCCCCCACGACAGCAACACTTGTTCCTCCTCCCCCTAGCGTCTGTGGGTTTTCTTAGCCTGGGACACTGTCTCCCACCTCCCCTTCACCTAACACCTTTAGGTTTCAGCTCACACCAGCCTCCTCTTCCAGGAAGCCTCCCAGGTGGGGGCAGACACTTCCAATGGGTTCTCAAAGCTTCCTGTACCTGTCCTGACCCCAGTCCCAGCTCTCCCCTCCCCAACCCTCCCGTGTTCTCCCTCTAACAGCCCCATCACTTCTGAGCTGCCCCAGTGGGTACTTTGTGAACTGGATGTGTGGATAAGTGACCAATGGCTTCCCCCTCCCCTAGTGTTACCTGTTTCACATGTATGTGGGCGTCCGGGCTGGCGGGGGCATCGGGGATGAGATTGAGGATCCCGCAGGCGATGAGTACGAGCTGTACCGGGTGGTCTTCGACATCACCTTCTTCTTCTTCGTCATTGTCATCCTGCTGGCCATCATCCAGGGTTAGTGCTGGCTGGAGTCCGGGGAGGGGGGACTCCGTGGCCAGAGGCAGCCTCGCCCATGGCTGAGTGCAGGCCAAGTGTTCAGTGAGCCTGGATTCAAATCCTGGTTCTGCGCTATAGACTGAGAGGTGGCCTCAGTCTCTCCATCTGTAAAATGGGGGTGTTCACAATAGTAGCCACATATAAGGATGTTGTGAGGATTACATCAACTTCATACATGTCAAATGTCTTGCACACAGAAGTGCTCAGTAAATGTTAGGGGTGATATTAGAGGGATGTTGGTGGAAGGCAAGGCCCAGAGGTCCACAGCCAGGGGAGCGGGGATTCTGAACTGGGTTGGGGTCAGATACTGATCTGCTTCCTGCCACCCCAGGTCTGATCATTGATGCTTTTGGTGAGCTCCGAGACCAGCAAGAGCAAGTGAAGGAGGATATGGAGGTGGGCCATGTCTGGGGATGTCCCAGAGGGTGAAGAGGGTCCTTGGGGGTCAAATGGGCCTTGACTCTGATGTCTTCTTCCATCCATAGACCAAGTGCTTCATTTGCGGAATCGGCAGCGACTACTTCGATACAACACCGCACGGGTTTGAGACCCACACGCTGGAGGAACACAACCTAGCCAATTACATGTGAGCACAGGCCCACTAGCCAATCACAAGGGCAGGAGTGTGTCTGCCAGCGGGATGATAAACCAGGGTCAGTCAGGGAAGGGGATTTGTGGAGAAGGAAGGTGGTCTTGACAAGTCTCCCACTGCCCCCACCCCCACCCCCACACAGGTTTTTCCTGATGTATCTGATCAACAAGGACGAGACAGAGCACACGGGACAGGTAAGGGAGTATCCATGGGAGGCCAGAGCACCGAGAGAGTTCATATAGAACTTAACCCCGAGTCAATACGGACTCAGAGCAACCCTTTAGAATAGAAAAGACCCCAAAGGATTTTCAAGGCTGTTTTGGTCAGGCGCTGTAGGGTAAGCACTGGAGTTCTTACTAACTGCAAGATCGGGGGTTCAAACACCCCCGCTGCTCCTCAGAAACCATAAATAGGGTAACTGTAAGTCAGACCTACTGATGGCATTTAAGGAAGGCTGTGCTGTGGCTTTGTAGGATAAACACTCATCTGCTAAGCACAGGTTAGCAGTTCAAGCCCACCAGCCACTTCGTGGAAGAAAGATGAGGCTTTCTGTTCCTGTAAAGATTTACAGCCTCAGAAACCTTATAAAGGGTCGCTTTGAGCAGGAATCTACTCAATGGCGCTTAACAACAACAATCTTTAAGGATATCAACTGTGTATCTTTTTGGAGCGATTGGTAGGTTTCAACAGGGTATAATAAAAAAAGGTATACCAAGCCTTTTAGCAAGTGACCACCTGGCCCTCTCTCATCCTTGAAACTCCAGGAATCTTATGTCTGGAAGATGTACCAGGAGCGATGTTGGGATTTCTTCCCGGCCGGTGACTGTTTTCGAAAGCAGTATGAGGACCAGCTTAACTGAGACCCCACACAGCTGGCCCTCCACCCTCACATCGAGTGCCTTATTCTTATGATGAGCCCCCTGACCCCCATTTCCTCTCCTCTCCCTGGGAGAAATAAAATCTGTACCACCACTCTGGTACTCCCCTGAGTTGGAACGTTGGATTGGGGGGAGGGGGGGCAGGGATGGGCACTCCACTCTCTCTTCTGAAAAACAAGATGGCAGCAGAGACTAGAGTCACATTTATTTGGAGACGGGACATAGCACGTCCACTAGTGTACATCCAACCAAGGACTGGTTCCTAATTTCCACTCAGAGGCTCATTCCTGGATGTAGAGATTACTCGGGGCAGTGGGATCATCAGCTGGGCGTGTCTCCACCACCACGGGTCTGGGGAAGGAAGGCAGAAGTCAGTTCATTCGTTCCTTCACAAAGTGGTTCTAGAGGCTGTGTCAGCCCAAGGCCCAGCTATAAAGTGAATGTGAAGAGAGGGGGGGTCCCTGCCTTTAGGGAGGTCACAGTTAGACACATGAAAGACAACGTGTGAAAAATTGTCCCAGGCCAAAGACAAAAGAAATAGGACTCCTAAATGCAACCTGGGGTCCTGGATTAGATCCTGGAGCAGAAACACATATACAAAAAAAGTGTTATTTTGTTATGAGAGGCACAACTTGGGACAGCTGGAGAGACTTGAACAAGTAGGCAGAGCCGAAGATGGTGAAATCTCAGTGTTATTGTCTTCATTTTGAGGGCTGTGACATGGTAATGTCAAAGTATGTCATTGCTTTGATTTAGGAGCTATTTACTGAAGTACAGGAGCCCTGGTAGCATAGCCGAGGGATTATGAGCTGGGCTGCAAACCGCAAGGTCAGCAGTTCAAATCTACCAGTCAGTTCTCATGAGAAAGATGAGACTTTCTGTTTCCATAAAGGAAATATTTTTTTTAGCCCCAGAAACCCTATATAGGGTTGTTATGAGTCGGAACCAACTAGGGGGCATAGCAGTCCTGTTATGGCACTTAGAACAAGCTCTGGACCAAAAGGCCATTTGAACTGCAAAGGTTGGTGGTTCAAACTCACCAGCTGCTCCTCAGAAACCCTATGGAAGGTTGCTATGAGTTGGAACTGACTTGAGGGCACTTAACAACAACAATGAATTGGGCTGCTAACTACAAGGTCAGTAGTTTGAATTTCCCAGCCACTCTACAGGAGGAAGAGGCGGCCTTCCTGCTCCTGTCAAGATGTACCACCTCGGAAACCTTATACAGGGTCGCTGTGAGGTGGAACTGACTCAACAGCACATCACCACCAGCACCATGCTCAAGTATTGGAGTCCTAGGATGAGCACTCAACTTGCTAACCACAAAGTTGGCAGTTCAAACCCACCAGCCACTCTTCAGAAACTGAGGGTCGCTGTAAGTCAGAACTGAGTCGACAGCACTCAACGACAATAACATGCTGAAATATTTAGGAGCACACAGACTTCATGTTTGCAACTTACTCTCGAATGGTTCAAAAAATAATAATAAAAAGGATGGTGGGAAGACAGAAGAGAAGGATAGAACAAATGTGGTTTTAAAAAATGTTAATATCTGGGGAATCTCAATGAGGAAGATGGATACTATTAGTTTTTAATTATTTTGGCAACTTCATTGTTAAGTCAAAAATTATGTCAAAATACAAATTGAAAATATTCCCTTGGCTGCTGTGGCAGGAATGGGCAATAGTGGGCAGAGGTGGAAGTAAGGATATCAGGTTAAAGGCCAAAGGTATAGGTGACTGAGGACACCTCTGGGTACCCTCTGCACATCAGATGTCCCCCTCACAAAGTCCTTCCATTTACCCCCTTACCCTTGATCATACCTGGGGGAGCCAAGAAGACGGAAGGTGAGAGTTGGGTCTCTCAGCTCCTGCAGCAGCTAAGGAAAAGTTATGTGTGTTTATCAGTGTCTAGAAGATTCCTCCCCTCTCCCTAGAAACATGGATCCCAGAAAGAGAGCCAGCGGAGGTGTGTGAATATTTTAGCCTCAGCTCCTGAAATCAATATTCTTCCCAATACTTCCCACCTACACTGTGATCTCAGGCAAATGACTAACCCTCTTTGAGCGTCACACTACCAATCTGGAAACCCTAGTACTGACCCGACAGGTGATTCTGAAGAATAAATAGAACACAGACGTGAAAGGGCTGATTCTAACAGTGTTCTAGGATGTGACCACCATTCTGCTCTCCGTTTCCCAGTTGAGGAAAATGAGCCCAGGAAGGGTAAGTCACTTGTTAAACTCCAGCCTAGAGAGTCTGGTCCATGTTCTTCAACACCATGTATCTCTATCTTGATCCCTCCCTCCCACGTATTTTACAGTTGGGGAAGTGAGGGAGAAGCAAAGTCCACTGCCTAAGATCACACAGTGGCATGGGAGGAGATTTGGACTCAAGAGACCTGGGGGTGGAGAAGGGGACCTGTCTGAACAATCTAGAGGAAACTTCTCATCTGTCCAGACCTTCACAACTTGACTCAATCCTCCCAGCCCATCTGATGACCACCATGACTCGGGTGGAGGACGACTTACCTGGTCTGAGTCTAGAGCCCACACCTGCACGCCATGCTTCCAGAAGGCCTGGACTTGACCCCCAATCATAGCTGGGAGAAAAGCAGTCTGTGTTAGCCTTGGAGAATCACTTGAGCCTCCACCTCCGACCCTGGGTTCCCCATCCCAGCACGTACCAACGGCCTCCACTGGTTCACTCATGGGGATCTCTGGGGTGCGAAGGCCGCGGACCGGAGCCCCTTCTGGGGTCACCAGCTTCAGAGAACCTGGGATGAGGTACACACAAAAAAGGGTTTTCAGAGCGTTGGGCGGGGCTTAAGCAGGCACTGAGATACCAGGCAATAGATTGAGAGTAAGGAGTAAAGGGGGGAAGGGGGAAGAGACTGGCAGGAGTTCAGCATTTCTGAGGAGGCAGAGAGGGGCTTGGGGAAGCCAGGAACGAGGTGAGGGGTTGGGAAGGCGGTTCTTACCGTCCATCAAAACCATCACCATGTCTTCCTCCACCTGGGTCACCTGTACTGGTCCTTTGTGCTCTGTTTGAGAGGAGGAGGCTCAAGGACACACCTGGGTTAGGCACATTTTCCTCCCAATACACTTAAGGTCAGCGGTTCGAAACTACCAGGTGCTCCGCGGGAGAAAGATGAGGCTTTCTACTCCCGTAAAGATTTACACCCTCGGAAACCCTATACAGGGTCGCTATGGGTCGGAACCGACTCGATGGCACATAACAACAACAACACACTGGCCAAACTCCACCCACTGTCTGGGACCCGCCCCTTCATGCTCTTCACTCATTAATAAGACCAGTGGAGGGGTGTGGCTGTCCGGCTCCACCCTTTTCTCACTAGCACCTCGAGCTAACCCCGCCCACTTCCTCCCAAACGGACAAGCCCCGCCCTCTGCGAGACCACGTCCCCACCCGCCTCACCTGTGCTTGGGTCGCCCAGCCAGCAGGAGAGTGCGCCGAAGCGCACGGTGTGGAAGAGCACTGACTTTGCCAGCTTCCCGGGGCTCACGCCGATGCATACAGCGGGCAGCTCAGAGCCTGGTCCGGTCAGCAGTGCAAACACCCGCAGAGGCGACGGCAGCGGGAACAGCACCTGCTACAGGGCCGCACAGAAAGGGGCGGGAGCAAAGCGTGCTGGGGGCGTGGCCTGGGGTGGCCAGGAAGGGAGGCCGGCCTGGCACGTCCCAAGTCTTTCCTGAACCCTCATTCTTGGGAGATGCCATCACAAATACAGCATAGGAAACCGTAGAGGGTTTAAAAATTAAGGGGCGGTAGCCTCGTCGGAAGCCTGGTTTCCTTTTAGGGACGTGCCATATGGCAGGTCGTCGGGGGCGTGGCCTCAATTAGAGACACGGGAGGCGGAGGGGGGGCGGGGGCTAAGAGGAGGTACGTAGCGCCTAAGGATGAGGAGTAATTAAGCCCAGGTGTGTGAGGTGGAGGGAGGCACAAAGCGCCTGAGCATGAGGAGTAATTAAGCCCAGGCATGCGAGGTGGAATTTAGCATCAGGAAGTTTAACCTCAGAAAAGCGGTCCTCTAACGCAGGCCAAAGGTAGGTGGAGCGGTTGGGGCGGGGCCTTGGGGGAGGCGTGGTTTCGTAGAGCGCTAAACTAAAGGGCAAAAGGAGGGAGGGCCCTAACCTAGGTCCCCTCAGAATTCTCCAGCCCCAGAGACCCCCTACCCGGACAAGCAGAAACTTGTTCATGGGTTGGTACCACTGGAGCAGAACCACAGAGGTCTCCAATGCCCCGCACAGGAATGGGCCCCCGGAGCTCGCCCCTTCCGCTGTGGGAGTAGGTAGGAATGGGTCAGGATCTGTCTCCTTCCGCTCTCCTCCATGGAGACTCTAACAACCACATATCCCGCCCCCCCCCCACACACACATCTTCCGGGTTCTAGAGACCCTGCCTACCAGAACCCACCCCAGGTCCAGCTCTGCCTTCCCCTCCGCGCACCCACGGGCGTCTCTCACCCACACAACACGCGCGGCAGCCTTTGGTGTCCTGGATCTTGGTGGAGACTATGTTCTTCCTGCAGAAGGTGATAGTTGTGAATGGGGGAGGGACAGCAGGAGGGGCCCTCACAGGGGTCCTTGGTGACACTAGGGGCTGATACCTTGCCAGGAGTCGGTGAGGACTAATGTGAGCGATGGGACTCCCTGCTCTGCTCTCTCTCCGGTCCAGCAGGCCCAGGATACTATGAGAATACAGGTGGGGGGTCTTTCCTGCAGTGTGTGTGTATGGTGGGGGAAACAGGCAGTTTTAGGACCCAGGAGACCCCTCCCTCCCACATCCCTTCTCTCTGCCCATCTCTGCCTGAAACTCTAAAGGCTGCAATTCTCAAACACTTTAATTCCCTCCTTTCCCCCTCAACCTCTGGTGCAAACAGGGGTCCCTGGGTTTCACAAACAGGTTAAACACGTAACTACTAGCCAAAAGGTTGGCTGTTAGAAGCCATTCAGAGGAGCCTGGAAAGACAGTCTTAGCAGTATGCTTCTGGAAGGTCACAGCCTTGAAAACCCCATGAAACAGTTTTATTCTGTCCACCTGGGATCGCATGAGTCAGAAGCAACTTAACCCAAAAGGTCAGTGCCCTCAGTGGTTAACTGAAAGGTTGGAAGTTTGAGTGCATCCAGAGGTGCTTTGGAAGAAAGGCAGACAATCTACTGAAAAATCAGCGTAGGAAGTGCAGTTCAATTCGGACACACACGGCATGTCATAAGTTGGAATCAACTTGTTCTTGACTGGTTTCTTGGTAGGCCAGCCACCATGCTTGGCTCCAATGAACAGTGTGAATAAAATGACTATATTCCCTATCCTTGCATTTGAAACAAGCAAACACCACTGCCTCTGAGTCAATGCCACCTCATGGCAATGTCATGTGTGTCAATTAGAACTGTACTCCACAGGGTTTTCCAAGCAGATTCCCAGGCCTATCCTGTGGCACGTCTGGGTGCCTGCTACATTTCAGCTGGCAGCTGAGAACTTCACTGTTTCCAACCACTCAGCAGCCTTTGTATCTGCATAAGAAACTATGAACACTTACCCAGTCAGATGCAGTTACATCTATGACAAGTTTAAGAAGAAACATCTTGAGATGGTTAATTTTATGTGTCAACTTGGCTAGACTTTGGTTCCCAGTGGTTTTGCCCGACACTAGACTAGCTGCTGTTTTGTAATGTAATGAAATATAATGTAGTGTGTAGTGTTGTTGTCAGGTGTCAAGTGAAGTGTCGTTGAGTTGTTTCTGACTGACAGCAACCCTGGATAGCAGAGGTGAGGAACCTTTTTTTCTGACAAAATTTATAATATCATTAGAATGATCAACTTGAAAATTAGCCTGCTATATTTAATCAAACATTTAATTAACTCACCAGCCGTTCCTCGGAAACCCTATCCAGGGTCGCTATGAGTTGGAACCAATTTGACAGCATTTAACAACAAGAGCAATGTGGTGGTAGAACTGCTGCCTGGGTAGGGACAGACCAAATGAGTCTGAGGGCCATAGACGGCCCGTGGCCTCTGCTCTATAGGGTTTCCAAGAGTAGCTCATGGGTTTGAACCACCAACCTTGTGGTTTGCAGTCCAATGATCCTATAGTGCCACACCAGGAGTCCCAATGCAGTATGGTGGTGATTACGTGCTGTGGAGTTGGTTCCGACTCATAGCAACCCTGTATAGGGTTTCCGAGGGGCAGCTGGTGAGTTTGAACCGCTGACCTTGTGGCGAATGCTTTCCTACAGCGTCACACCAGGACTCCATAGTATAATGTAGTGTAATGTAGCGTCATGTGGTGTTGTTCTTGTTAAGTGCTGTCAAGTCAATTCTGACTCAAAGTTTCCGAGAAGCAGCTGGTGGGTTTGAACTGCCTGCTGACCTTGTGGCTCGCATTCCAGTGCTGATCCTACAGCGCCACACCAGATAGTGTAATGTAGTGTGGTGGTGTGCCGTGGAGTTCTTTCTGACTCATAGCAACCCTGTATAGGGTTTCCGAGGTTGTAAATCTTTGTTGTTGTTGTGAAGTGCTGTCGAGTCGATATCAACCCATAGCGACCCTGTATAGGGTTGCCGAGGAACAGCTGGTAAGCTTGAACCACCGACCTTGCAGTTCAAACGGCTTTGCAATCTGGCACATTAACCCACAGCGCCACACCAACTTCTCCCATGGAGCAACTGGTAGATTTGAACTCTTGACCTTGAGGTTAGCAGCCTAGCTCATAAGCCACTACACTACCAGAACTGTTTGTAATGTCAGGTCATGTAGTGTAAGGTATTGTAGTATAAGGCATTGTAACAGTGTTCCATAATGCAACATAATCAATCAGTGAAAAGAGAGTTCCTTAGGATGGTGCCTGCCTTCAGACTATAAATAGATACTGTAGCAGAAATCGGAGTCCTGGTGTGGCGCTGTGGGTTAACACTCTAGATTGCAAAGTTAGTTTGACCGCAAGGTCAGTGGCTCAAGCTCACTAGCCGCTCCTCGGAAACCCTATACAGGGTTGCTATGGGTCAGAACCGATTCGACAGTACTTCATAACAACAAGCAACAGAGAAGACCTCAAAGATGACGAGCTGTTAGGACTGTTGTAAACCTCATTTTACAGAAGGGGAAACTGGGTTTCAGTTAGGGCTTAGTTGCTTGCTCTAAGTCCTATAGTGACAAAGTAGCTGGAATTTGAACTGAAGGCCATATGAAGGCGAAGCCTACGCTTCTTTCCCACTGTGCCCGTATACCTCCCAATCTCTTTAAACCTGACCCCCCCCCTCCACTTCCCAGCCTCTCCCCTCCTAGCTAACCCACAGCCAGACCTGAGAGAGACATGAGGACACTGTTGATACAATACAGCCAGGTGGTACGGCCAGGAAAGAGCTGAAGAAAATGGGGGAGACGGCTCCTGTAAAATCCCAGGAACGCCTCTTCTGACCCCCCTCCTTGCCCTGTCCTAGATACCCTCCCTCACCATCTCCAGCGTGGCCTCCTGGTCACTCCGGTTCAAGATGAAAATGCCTTCCTCTGCTCCCAAAAGCAGGTACTGGTCTGGAGGGACAGATGCTAGGACATTAGGACCTGCCTTGGCCTGGAGTGGCCTCCCAGATCCCCACGCATCTGACCCTAAATGCTCGCCCCAGCTCTGACCCTCTGTTCTCTTAACTCTCATCCCAGCCTGTTTCCCCAAATCTGAACTTGAATTCTAGCCCAGTCCCTTAGCCTAGTCTCCTCACCTACCTTGGACCACCCACATTTTGGTGGTTCTTCCATCTCTGACCTGCAAATCTTGATCCTCTGTGTCCTCAGTTCTGATTCCGAATCAGACCCTCCGTCCCCCAAATAACCCTCTAACTCCAGGCATCAAGATCTGCCCCTCTCTGCCCAGTTCTGATCCTCAAACCCTTACCTGTGTCAACATTGACCTTCACACTTTGACTCCCTAAATATGACTCTTCCAGTTGTGACTCCCCCAACTAACCTTACCTTCACATCTCCAGTCCCTAAACTCTGACCTCTTCTGCTGCATGCTGATTCCCCAAACTTCTGTCCCAAGAATGCTGATCCCTGCTTCCTTCACATTAGCCCCAAATTCACCTTCTGCCCACCATCTTATACCCCTGATTCTGTCCTTTCTGGTCTCTTCTGACACTCCAGACCAGCAAACTCTAAATTTTCCTAGTTTTTCCTTTTAAACTGACCTTTTCTCATGTTGTTGTTAAGTGCTACTGAGTCAGTTCTGACTCATAGCGACCCTGTATAGGGTTTCCAAGGAGTGGCTGGTGGGTTTGAACCACCGACCTTGTGGCGAGCTGTCCAGTGCTGATCCTACAGTGTCATGTTGTTACTCCCAGCCTTAACCCTGCCTTCTCTCAGCTTTGCTATGCCCCTCTCACAGAGACCCTCCCGTTTCTGCTTTGCTCCTTCCATTAAGACTCCGCCCCATCCATCCCCTGGCCCTCCTAAAAGCCCACCTTTGGTGGAGGGGTGTGTCCAGGCGGCTGTGCTGTGGATCCGGAGGGGGCAGCCATTGAACAACTTTATGAGGAGGGCGCGTCCCTGGGCAGGCAATGACAGACAAGAGCAGACCCCTCAGTATTCAGCAATAGGGGCAGAGCACAGGAAGGGGCATCATGTAGTACTGAAGCCTCCAGAGCAAGAATGGTTCGAGCATATATAACCTTGGGCAAGTTACTTATCTTCTCCATGACTCAATTTTCCCATCTGTAAAATGGGGGGGTATATCTAGCTGCGTAAGGGCATGTCACACCACATAAAGAGAGGAGGTCAAGATTGAGGGTTGAGGAAGGGCAACAAGTATCAGCTGTGACTCTGGTCTTCCTGGCCCCCTGCCCCCTCCCCAGCCCCATTCAGAGAGGTAAAAGTCCTCACCTTTCTCTTCATCTTTTCCTTCTTCGGGGGCAGTCGTGGAGGCAGGTCAGGTTCTCTGGGAGCTGGGTTCCAGAGTGACGGTTCTGAAAAGGTTTGGGGGGAAAATTAGCCCTGAGGTCCCTCACACCTGCCCACCCACCTCTTAGCCTGGTCTGCTGTTACCTGAATGGGCTGTGAGGTGGGGGCTACAGGTGGCTGGAGGAAGTCCAAGATGGGGGCTGCTGCGTGGGGGAGGCCCACTGGCACATCGGACCAACACCCCTGGGCTCAGTTGTCCGTCATCTCCAATCTCTCCGGGACCCTCATCCGATGGGGAACGGAACTTGGGCTTTGGGGATAGGAAAAGGTAGGGGGAAATACGAGGGGGACTTCAGTTTTTGGAAAAAATGGAATGGAAAAATAATGGACGTTTTCCACAAACTTGGTGAAGTCCCCTCAAATGTCAGAACTGATATTCAGAAAGAGCTAACCCCCCACGTCTCTACCCTGACTTCAGATGTCCGTCCCCCACAACCTCCTCCCAAGCCTAACACACAGTTTCTCATGCCAGATAGTTACAGTGTATATTAAGGTGGATCTTTTCTTTTTTCCCCTATTTTCTCTCCTTTCTTTAGTTTGGTAATATGGTGAAGTACATTGATTTCTCAGTTAATAAACCAGCCTCACATCCCTAAAATAAATTTAGTCTTTCTATGCAATTCTTTTTTACATATTGCTAAATTCTTTTTGTTGATACTTGGTTAATGATTTTTTGCATCTATACTCATATTGGTCTATTGTTTTCGTTTAGTTTTTGTGTAGTTTTTGCCTGCTTTTGATATCAGGGTAAGATTAGCTTCGACTAATGAATTAGGAGGTATTCCATTCTCTTCTATTTTGTGGAAGAGATCGTGTAGAATTGTTTGTTTATTTTTGAAAAGCAGATGGCACAGCTTTATTAAGCCCGTGCACAAGTTAAGGCTGAGAGGGGGCCTCCCTCACCTTCTGTTTGCCTCCTGGTGTTTTTCAAGTGTCATTTTAGAATTGTTTTTAAGTCTTGAAAATTTTGGTAGAATTCTCCAAATGAAACCATCTGGGCTGGGAGATTTCTTTTTTGAGAGACTTTTTGTTTTCACTCCAGGTAAGTTACCAATACTTATTATTTTTAAAATGTATGCTCTGTTTCTTTGATTCATCAACAAAAAATATAAACTTTTTTCTGTCTTCCTCTTCACCCAAATTAACCCGTGTCTACTCTACACAGCAAGGTCCATTTCAAACGCAAGGTCAGCAGTTCAAGCCCACCAGCCGCTCCTCAGAAACCCTATACAGGGTCACTATGAGTCAGAACCAACTCCTCGACGGCACTTAACAACAACAATGTGATGGCTGGAACTGCAGTTGCCTTGGCAGGGCCAGACCAAATGCTTTTGTGGGTCTTATATGACCCATGGGCTGGACATTTCCAGCCCCTGCTCTAGAAAGTGGACAAGTCTCCCTTCCCTCCCACCCCTGGTAACCATCATTGAATGTTCCTTTAAGCATGAAAACCTTTTCTTGATTTTTATAATAGTGGTCTCATGCACTGTTTGTCCACAGGCTCAGTCTTTTAAATCTCACCCCTAAATTCAGGAATGCCACCTCCAGATCCCAATATTCCCATCGTCCTTAGCCCTCCAGAGATTTGGTGTCCCAGACTCTCAGCCCTAGAGAGCCCAGTATCCCAGTATCCAAGGACTCTAGCCTCCTGGCTCAGGCCCTTACCTTAGGAGGTAGTGGAGGAGGCATGTCTTCTGCAGGGGTGGGGCTGAAACACAGAGATGGGATGAACACGGATTAGGTATCTGGGATCAAGGGCTGGGAGAAGGTGAGAGTGAGTCAGTGCTGGAGATTTGAGATTAAGGGCCTGAAGTCAGGAAGTAAAGATGGGTGGAATTGAGGATTAAAGGACTAATAAACATATTGAGGAGTTCTGGTAGCGCAGTGGTTACGAAATGGACTGCGAACCGCAAGGTCGGCAGTTCGAAACTATGAGCTGTTCTGCAGGAGAAAGATGAGGCTTTCTGCTCCCGTAAAGATTTACAGCCTCAGAAACCCTGGACAGGGTCGCTATGAGTGGGAACCAACTGCACGACACATAACAACAACAACAACAACCATATTGACAATAGTGACAGCAATTCTTGGGTCTGGAGTGCTGCCACTGTGATGGGGCTTATACTTGAAGCCCTGTGGATCTTTATAACCACTTAGTAACACAGGCCCTAGGAATACTAGCTCCTGTGCACCTAGCACCATGTATGAGTTGGTTCTACACAAGATGTATGGATGAAATGAGTGAGCTGGGCCTGGAGGCTGGTGCAAGACAGACACATGGACTGATCCTGGGGTTTGGATCTGGGGCTGAGGGCCAAGCACTAGGGAAATTCCCAGAGGCCAAGTTCAGTCTGAGGTTGGGTGAGAATATGAAGAAAGATGAAGGCCTGGAGTTACAGGTTGGGGTTGAAGTTGAGGTCAGGCTGTGTTGGAGGAACATTTGGAAGGAGTTAAAAGACTAGTCTGTGACTGAGAGATCAAGGTTGAGTTGCAGAGTAGGGAAAGATTTTAGGACATTCTGGAAGGAACTGGGATACTGGGATCAGGTCTGGGGTTGAGGGCAGGTAGGAGCTGAAGTTGGGGGGTCAGATCGCATAAAGGAAAGTGGGCTGAGGTTGGAGGTGAAGGTAGGTAGTGGTAAAGTTGGGATGGCGCTAGGAATGAAGGCAGGTGAGGGCCAGGTTGGATGTTAGTTTAGTGGTCACAGGTTGGGGTGAAGCAAAGTAGTAACTGTTTTGTGGGTCTAGCCAGGGCCAGGGATCAGATGTGAAGGAAGGTAGGCACTGAGGTGGGGTCAGGGCTGGAAGGAAAGTTGGACCAAGTTGGGGATATGTAGGAAGATGGGGTTGGGGGTGGAGGGGTGGAGCTTAGGGTCACAGCCTCTCTTACATGTCTACATCATCGTAGTCATCCTCGGACTCTGACAGGTGCTCCCTGAAGAGCAAACAGCATGAGTCTCAGGTGGCTCCCACCTAGATCCCAGCCCCCTCCCATCACCCTGGAGGTCCCTGACCTGGGACTACTGCTTCTGCTGTCTCCGGGAGGCTGGCAGAGAACCTGTGGGACAGGGGACGTATCAGCAGTGACTGATGGGAAGGAGAAGGTGTCTGGGGAGAGCAAGGGGAAGCATCTCACGGTGTGGTGGGTCGGCGGTCGGGACTCCATTGCTCTCAGCCTCCTGAACTCCATGTGCCGCCCTGGGAGGTGGGAAGAGATGGTAACATGTGAGGGTAGAAGGATGTCAAGATGGATTTGAGAGTTAAAAGCATTTGGGCAGAAGTCAGGGTTGTAGGGATTGGAACTACCTTTGGTGGTACCTTGACATACAGGGGTCTCATTTGCAGGCCAGGGCTTGGGCTCAGAGAGATGGAGGCTCAAAGTTGCGGTGGAGGTTTTTGAGATCTTTGGGGCCATCAAGGGCAGTGAGGGGGAGTCTCTGGATTCGGTCTGACCATCAGGAATTGTGATGAAGATTTCTCAGGCCTTTCTTTGAGTCAGGGTGGTAATGGGGGTGTCTCATGGTGTCTGTTTGCGGGGAGGTGAAGGGTCTTCTGTGGCCATTATATAGGTCAGCTGGTAGATAGATCTAGAATGTCCTAAGATCTCTCCCTACTCTGCAACTCTACCCTGGGGTCTTTTATGAGGTCAGGCATGGGGGGGGAGGGTCAGTCTCTGATGGTGTGATGGAGTCTGGATCTGTGATCTATGATAAGGTCAGGTGTATTCAAACTTAAGGATTCTCGACTCACGAGTACAGTCTGCGTCTGGGATCCCCAGAGAGCTGGACCGATGAGTGGACTTGATCCGCCGAGGGATGGCAGGGGGTAGCTGGACCAATGGACATCTGAGTCAGGCTCAAGGGCCCAAAGAGCCCTCAGCCCCCCTGTGGGCCCAGCTTTGAGCCTCCTCCCATAACCCTCTGTGCACATAGCCTTAGGCCAAGCTCTCCCCCCCACCCCCCACCCCATGTTTTGTCCTCAGAGAGGCAGCAGGAAGGTGCTCCAGGTAAAGGGAGTGGTCTGAGCAAAGGTGGGGGGCGGGGTGCTATTGCCAGCAGGGTTCCCTCACCTCAGGTTCCTCCTCCTCAGCATCACCACCTGGGGGCCCCTTCACTGGGTTCCTCAGTTTATCAAGAAGGTCCAAGATCAGGCCTCGACTCAACCCCGGCTGGGACACCAGTTGATGCTGGGAGAGAAGCGGGAGGGGGCAGGGCAGCAAACAGGCTGGTGTGGGGCAGAAGACTGGGGCAGAATCTCAAGAGTTTGTCTAAGGGAACCTAGGAAGCGGTGCCAACTGAGGGAAAGGGCAGGGAAGTCCTGTTGGAGTCCTGGTATGGCACTGTAGGCTAAGCACTGGATGGCCAACTGCAAGGTCGGCAGTTCAAACCCACCAGCAGCTCCTTGGAAACCCTATGTTGTTGTTAAGTCCCATCAAGTCAGTTCCGACTCACAGTGACCCTGTATAGGGTTTCCAAGGAGCAGCTGGTAGGCTTGAACTGCTGACCTTGTGATGAGCAGTCCAGTGCTGATCCAACAGTGATTCCCAGAAACCCTATACAGGGTCACTGTGAGTGGAAACCAACTCAACGGCACTTAACACCACCACCAACTGGGAGCTGACACTGTAGGGTAATCACTAGATGGCTAACTGCTAGGTAGCAGCTGCTCTTCAAGAGAAAGATGAGGCTCTCTGCTCCCTGAAAAGATTTCTAGTCTACGAAGCCCTATACAGGATTCCATCCAGAATTGACTCGACGGCAGTGGATATTTTGGTTGAATTGGGAGAGGACGGCTTGGAGAATTCCAGAGGTGTCTTAGAGGGAACTGAGGTTCCCTTGAATTCAAGAGGGCACTTAGGAATGGGGCTCAAGGCCTTTACAAATGTGACTTCTAACCACTCAGGGGACCTTGGAGGAGTCTGGGGCACCATTTGGAGGAACTTGGCAGATCCCGAGAAACTAATCCTGTTGGTGTAATGGTTGGCGGTTCGAATACACCATGGGAGAAAGATGAGACTTTCTGCCCCTGTAGAAATTGTTGATAAGAATCCAGTTGATTCCAACCCATAGCAACGCTGTACAGGGTTCCGAGACTGTAAATCTTTATGGCAGCAGAAAGCCTCATCTTTTGACCTTGAGGTTAGCAGCCCGATTCGTAACCACTGTGCTATCTCAGAAACCCCATACAAGGTCACTGTGGGTTGGAACTGACTTGACAACATTTAAGAGACAATAACAGAGACTTTGAAAGGAGTGCTCATGGCACAATGGTTACGTGATTGGCTTCTAATCCTAAGGCCAGTGGTTCAAATCCACCAGCTGCTCCACAGAAGAAAAGACCTAGTAATCTCCTCCCATAAAGATGCCAGCCTAGAAAAGCCTACGGGGCACACGATCTCACAGAGTCACTGTGAGTGGGGACCAACTTGATGGTATACAGCAACAGCAGAGACTTTGAAAAGACAGTGAGGATTCTGTGAAACACAACTATCTAAGTGCTAGGGAGGTGTGGAAGGCCCTAGGGAATTTTAGGGGTGACAGGAGTTTGGGGGAGCGTTCCTTAGGGGAGACTTACACTGAGCATCTTGGTGGCGCTGGGTCGTTTCTTGGGGTTCTTAGTGAGGGTGACTTTGACAAAGTTGTGGAAGGCAGCCGACCTTGGAAGAAAGAAGCCAGGTTCTGGAGTGAGGGGATCAGAGACCTTCCCATCAGACCAGCCAATCCTGGCTCTGCCCTCTCTCCCTCAGAAAACCTCCACTTACCATTTGCCCTTTTCTTTCAGCCGGGGCGGCTGGTAACCACTCTTAGTCATGAGAAAGAGAACCCTAGAAGAGGAGGAAAAATGAGGTTCACAACTCCTCTTAAGGGGCCAGATCTCACCGCCTGAGGGTTCCCCAGACCCTCACAGACAGCCCTGAGGTCAAAGACAGAATGAGAAATTTCCGGTTTTAGAATACACAGGAATGCCACCTGTAGGGGGAGCCATTGAGCACATTCTGGACCTCTGACTTGTGCTGGGAGGCCTGGGGGGGTCCCCTGTAGGGGAATCCTGAAGTTAGGTAGCACATGGGGAGTGGCTCAGATCTAGGTAGGGTCTCTAAACCCCAAGGGGAATCCCTAACACCTACCTGAGAGGGTGGACATCAAAGAGTGGAGGCTGTAACTCCGCCAGTTCGATGGCTGTGATACCCAGGGACCAGATGTCACACAGTTCATTGTAGCCCCCTTTCAGGGCCACGGCTGCCACTTCCGGAGCCATCCTGGGGACAGAGACCCTCAGAGAGCCAGGGGTGACATGGGAAGGGGCAAGGGAAAGAGGGATGCAGGGAGTTGAGGGGCAGATGAAAGGGAGGGGGAGCAAGGGGAGAGGAGGCATAGCAAGAGCCGGAGGGGGAAAGAAAAAATCAAGACAAACAAAGAAACAGAGACAGAGAGACACAAACAGTGGGCAGAGAGAGCCACAGACTGACAAGGAGAAGTGGTCATTACAGCTGGAGAGACAGAGCAAGATAAAAACGGACTCAAACACAGAGATACAGGCAGGGGGAGGCCCAGGGAGAGGGAAACTCCAGAGAGAGCCACAGGATTGGGGGGCGGGGGGCTACACACAAAGACAGAGGCAGACAGCCAGGATGGGAAAGCCACTGCCTCACCCTACTCTATCCTGCCCACTATGCCTTGCTCACCAATAGGGTGTCCCAATGAAGGAAAGGCGTCGAGCCAGCGTTGCCCCGATCTGGGCCGAGATACCAAAGTCAGCTAGAAGCAGAGGGAAGAGACAGTGACTTAGGGTCTCCCATCTACCCAGCGCCCCCCATCAACCCCCACATACCACACTCACCCAGTCTGACCTCCCCAGCATCATTGATGAGAATGTTGGCTCCCTAAGTGGGGAAGAGGTAGAGGAAGCCAGAGGCTGTCAGAGACACCTCCCTCCCCAAGCTCAACACCACCCAGCTCCCAGAGTTCCACCCTCAACACCACCACTGCACCCCGACTACCACCTTGATGTCCCTGTGTATCTTCTTCTGTGAGTGCAGGTAGGCCAGTCCCTGGGGAGGAGGGAGATGGGGCAGCTGTGAAGGTGGGGATGGGGGGTAGGGCCCTGCCCCCACCCAGGCCCACCCAGGCCTGTCCTCACCTGGAGCACTTCTCGGCAAACATAGCTAATCTGGAGCTCCGTCAGCGAGCCTGTCACTGCAAAGCCAGGGAACCTTGGTCTGGAGTCCCTGACCCCCACCCACAATGACTAGGAACATGAGTGGTGGGGTGGTGTAGAGGGTGAAAGAAGGGGGAGGCAGAGGAGTGGTCAGCTGGTCAGTGACAAAGAGAAGGCAAGACAGGGAAACAGAGGCCGGAGGGACATACAGAGGAGGATTAATTCAACAGATTTTTATTGAGGGCACGGAGGCCTGAGAGTGGCGGTGGGAGTTGGGGACACACAACTGTGAAGAAAGAGAGCTCCCTGCTCACCTGGAGAGAACATTCTGGGGGAAAAGACTGCGAGGAAACAAGATACACAAGTAGAATAGTCCACAGGATGTTAAAAATAAAAAAGGTCAGATGGAAAAGACCCCATGGAAAAATAGGAGCTTCATGGCATGGAGGAAGATGGGAAAGTCTTCCCAGGGTGCTCAGAGAAGGCTTTCCTGAGATGACAGCTGTGGGGCAGCCCCACTCTCAGGGAAAGGGCAAGTGCAAAGGCCAGGAGGTGGGAGCCGAGCCTGGGGAGTCACAGAAGAAGACTAAGGGAAGAGGAAAGTGTAGGTGGTGAGGTCAGGCAGCTGGGGCAGGTCAGAGTCACACACCAAGATAAGGACTTGAGGTTCTCTTTGGAGGGAAATAGGAGCCGCAGAGGGCTCTGAAGAGAGGAGTGAGGGAATGTGGAGACTAAGACAGAGACATAGGGGTTTCAAATCTAAACCAAGAATGACAGCAAGGAAGAGACAGTCAGAGACCAAAATGTGGGAAACCCACTGCCGCCAAGTGGATTCCAAGTCACACTGCCCCTCAGGGTTTCTAAGAGTGCCCATCTTCATGGGGCAGACAGCCTCATCTGTCTCCCTCAGAGCACCGGGTAAGTTTGAATCACCAACTCCGCTGTTAGCAGTCCCACCTCTAATCCGCTGAGAGACACAGAGGGAACAAATGAGAGAGGCAAAAAACAGACAGACAGACCCAGTGTCTGTGAGTCAGTTTCCCCCTCTGAGGACTTCTAATGAAGCTTTTCCTTCTCTGACATTTGAAGTCTGAGCTGAAAGGAATCAGGAAGACGGTTAAAGACAAAAGTGAGCATTGGGAATGCTACTGCTCAGATTCTAAGAGACAGGCTGGGAGACAGAGAGACCCAGAAATTCAGTCACTCTTTCCCTGAGAATATGGGCACCTATGCTCCTCAGAAACCCTATACAGGGTCGCTACGGGTCAGAACCCAACTCGACGGCGTTTAACAACAACTATGAGCTAGAAATACAGAGACACTCAAACACACTAATAAAGCTGGCAAGGAAATGCAGACACAGACAATGATACGGAGCAGATGGAGGGAAAGAAAGGGGTCACTGCAGGCAGACAGACCTAGTGGGCCCGGGGCAGCGTACCCCACATTGACCAGGCCAAGGCCAGAGGAGGGGTGCAGTGTGTGAAGTATGAGACCAGCAAGCCTGTCCCAGAAAGATGCAAATAAAAAAGGCAGGGAGAGACAGGAGGAGAGTGATGGATTTGAGGATCTCCCGGCCCGTCTTCTCACCTTGGTAGATATCCTGAAGAGAGCCAGCCCCACAGAATTCCATGCAGATCCAGAGCTTTTGCAACCTACAGCAGTTCAAGAGGAGGAAGAACAATGACAGCAGAAGCCCCTGGTTCTCTGCTTGTCAGGTTTTAGTTCAACAAGTACTTGACTACAACAGCTGTCATCTATCTTGCCTTGCCCACCAGAGTGTGATCTTTTCATGCCCATCTTACAGATGGTAAAGTTGAGACTCAAAGAGGAAATATATTTTCAGGGTCAACTGGACTCATATTCCAGTCTTTGGGCTCCAAACCTAGGAGCTGTCCTCTGACAACCTAGGAGGCAAGGTAAACATCTCAGGGGTTGGAGAAGTTGGGACAGGGTAGAAGGGCCTAGGATGCTGGTTTGGGGAATGTGGTCCTTAGTGAAGCATCTGTGATAATCTTCTGAGATCCAGTGAGTTTAGGAGTTCATATAAAGAAGCAAGCAGTCCTGGTGTGGTGCTGTAGGATAAGCACTGGACTGCTAACCGTAGGTCGATTGTGCAGACCCATCAATTGCTCCTTGGAAACCTTTTCCAGGGTTGCTATAAATTGGATGGTTCCAATTTCACAACAACATAAAGAAGCAGTGAATGAAACAGGTGGGCACCCAAAGGACAGGATGATAACATTAATTTTAGGGGGCTCAGGTTTCATATTCAGTTACCATAAGGAGTCAATCTGGGGTCCTATGGTCAGAAATGGGAGTCCTGGATTGGGGATCAGTTTAGATGGTGCTCCAGTCAGAAATGGGGGTTCAGGTTAGGATGCCCAGGTTAGAAATGAGAGTTCAGGATTAGAGAGTAGGTTATGAGGTGCCTTGGTTAGAAGCAAGCGTTCCGATTTGAGGGATGGGGTTAGGAAGGCCCTATTCAGAACAGAGACCTCAGCATTAGAGTTCAGACTGGGGGGCCCAGTTCAGAAAAGAGATTTCAAGATTAGAGCTTTCATTAGGGTTTCCCTGTTCAGATATGAGACGCCAGAATTGGAGGTCAGGTTTAGGGTCGGGTTCTAGGTTGGGGGTTGGCTGGGTCCCAGGGCAGGTCTGAGGGTCCTCACCAAAGGTAAGTGCCATGATAGGCCACGATGTTGGCATGCCGGCACGTTTTCAAAATGAGGATTTCCTTCTGAAGAGTGGAGACATCGTCATCTGCGTGGAGGAGTTGGGGGAGAGAAAAAGCAGCTGTAGGAAGGGGCCCGTAGGGTAAGTGACCCCGGTGTCCCAGGAGGGAGGGGTGAGGGTGTGGAGAGGGATCCTGGGTCCCCGCCTCACCAGGTTCCATCTTCACCATCTTCAATGCCATCAGTCCTCCAGTCACCTTGTCCCGAGCCTGGTGAGGGGAAGTGGGCAGTCAGACGGGTCCCACACGCCAGAGTCCCTCCCGCCTCAGCATCACAGAGCCTTGGTGAGGCCCGTTTGCATTCCCTTTACTTCCTGGGCCTCACCCCAAAGGCCACTGCTTTGAAGGAGATGGAGACAGACAGGAGATGGGGGAAGGGGCCCCTCACCTTGAACACTTCCCCATAGGTGCCGCCCCCTAGCCTCTGCAGCAAGTCGTAGTGGTCCCGGGGGTCCCTATTAAAGATGTCAGGATCCACGAGGTCCATTCCTGGAGGTTGGAGCTGGTCCTGTGCCCAGGGGGCCAGCAGGGCCACGGGGCTCAAATGCTGGCACCTCCTCTCCCTACACGCTCTGCACCCGCCTTGCCTCTACCGGCTGTGGCCTCCTCCACTCCCCGCTCTCGCTTCCTGCCCCAGTGCAAGGGTTGTGCAGCCAGCTCCACCCCCAAGTCCCCTGGGCCCTGACAGCCTGTGAGGGGCAGCTAGTGTCAAGACCCAGGGGACCCCCCTCCATCCCTAAGGCAGAGGGCTAGATGTAAATGAGATGCAAACGATCTTAATTATAACCAGGGAGGGTGGTGGTGTCCCGGCAGGCCCCTCTCTAGAGCTAGGTGGATGAGAGAAACCATAGTGGAACCTCTGCTTGCTATGTGGAAGAGGGTTTGGCCACAATCCCGGAGACGGTGGGAACCTCTGCTTGCTATGTGGAAGAGGGTTTGGCCACAATCCCGGAGACGGCGGTGCGCAGGTTTGCACAAGAGATGGCTGTGCAGTCTACCTGCCTTTTCACCTATGGTACATACTGTTACGAATTGGGCTGCTAACCTCAGGGTCAGCAGTTCGAAACTACCAGCTGTTCCGCAGGAGAAAGATGAGGCTTTCTGTTCCTGTAAAGATATACAGTCTTGGAAACCCTGTACAGGGTAGCTACCAGCTGTTCCGCAGGAGAAAGATGAGGCTTTCTGTTCCTGTAAAGATATACAGTCTTGGAAACCCTGTACAGGGTAGCTACCAGCTGTTCCGCAGGAGAAAGATGAGGCTTTCTGTTCCTGTAAAGATATACAGTCTTGGAAACCCTGTACAGAGTAGCTATGAGTTGGAACCGACTCCATGGCACATAACAACAACAAACAAACGTGCATTTACATCTCACCCGCCAGTGGATTGTGTAGCTCTGTAGACAAAGCACGTATGTGTAACCCTTTTGCCTAAACGTGGATGTTCCCAGAGCTCATGCCTCCACACACCACTCATGCCTGTGTGCTCACGCTTGCAGCGTGCAGTGTGTACGCACTTAACTCATGGTTGCACACATAGGGCTCCTTGCCTTCACCTCGAGGCCTGGGCTGAAAAGGAGACTGGGGCGATTCGGCGGGGTACAGGAGCCCCTCACCTTAGCCCTGTGGACCTCTAGCCTAGGAACTGTGAAGGATGGTGGGCTCCAGAGTCCAGGACTTGAAACTAGAGTGCACAGGATCCTGCCTTAGGGGTCTGGTATTGGGGTGGAGAGTAGGGGGGCAGAACCTCAGCACATCCCTCAGAATTTGGCCATGATCCAAAAGGAAGGCTACTATGTGCATCTCTGCGCCAAGTATGTAAGTTCACAGCCCACCACCCAGAGAATGAGCAGGCAAATAACACTGCTGAGACCAGGCACAAGTTACTAGAGGCTCCGACAAAGTTTAGCCCCGCCTCCTAGTCCACAGACAGCGCCTGCGCACTGGGGCATACGAGCCTGTTGACCCAGTTCAAACAGCGAAAGCGCACGCGCTAATTGACTTGACTTGGGAAGAAGTCACGTGATAGCCGGAAAGCGTGGCTGCTGCTGCAAGAGTCGACCCCCCCCCTTCACCGCGTCGTGAGGCTGGGCTGTAGCAATGACGTATTTCCTTTTCCGTTACATCTTCCGCTCCTCGCGGACGCGGTGCCGGCTCGCTCTTATTCCAGCCGGGGTGTGGAAAGCGACCGTAATCATGGCAGTATTTGAGCAGATGAGAGCGAACGTGGGCAAGTTGCTCAAGGGTATCGACAGGTCTGAGTGCCGTCGGAGGGAGCGCTTTTGTTTAAGCGGGATGGAGGAGAGGCTTTTCCGGGGACAGAAGGGTAATGTAGTCAGGGTCAGGGTCCCGGGCCTGCCCTGGGGTGAGGGTGTCTCTGTTCATTCTAGATGTTGAAGACTCAATCTTCAAGAGCAGATGTTTAAGGGAATAGCAGTGCAAACGCCCAGAAGCAGGAAGAGAACCTTGTCGATCGCTCAGTCTCTGCTACTCCGTTTCCTATTGTGTATTTCAGTATTTCTCGGTCACCTGCTCGGTGGTCCCTCATGCCATTCATTCATCATAGAGCCACCTGTCAGTGCTGGTCCATGTTGGGGTCTAGAGGTGACCAAGATAGCTGCAGACCTTGCATTCATGAAGTTCCCAGTCCAGGGGCGATACAGGATGATAGTTGACATCTGGGAGGCGCAGGCACAGTGGTCGGGGCTGAGATGGGGGAAATATGGCGGAGGTCGGGGGGAGGCCTGGACAGGGCAAAGTGGACCTGGTCTGGCGAAAGCATAGGAGACTATGGAAGAATGAGGTAAAGATGATAAGACACCTGACCTAGCTTGGGTCAGGGGAGGCATTTTGGAAGGTGGTGAAGTCTAGGATAAAACCTGAAAGACAAGTGAGAAGGAGGCAAATTAAGAAAGAAGGGCAAGACCTGAGTTGGGCAAAAAAAAGAAGAGAACTCCAGGCTGGAGAAACACCAGGGGCAGATGCTTTGAGAGGAGATGAGCTTAGTGATGCCTAGAGTTGGACGCCATTTATTGTGCGTGGACTAAAATGTGGAGTAAGAGATGTAGCCGGCTACGTTGTAAGGGCCCTGATCATGAGAGAAGGACCGGGGGAGCCGTGGAATGAGTTTAAGCAGAGGGGCATAGTCTTTGTGCTTTCGAAAGAACTCTTATAGAGAGACCCAGGCAGAAAAGGATGGGACTGGACCAGGTTGGAGACCTGGGGAGAGAAGAAGGGGTTGGGTGGCAGATACATTCAAGAGGCCAAGTATACAAAAATGGCAAGTCTGATTGGCTGAGGGGTGGAGAAGGCATCCCAGGACACGACCCATTGGGACTGAAGCTCAGGCAAGAGGTCTGGTATGTGCAGAAATTTTATTAGAGATTATAGAGCCGATTCAAGATTGGAGTAAGGCAAGTGCCTGGTGCCAGACTGAGAGGGAAAGAACACGTTACAGTGGCTCCTAGCTGCCTGTCTCATTTGTGCTCATCTGTTCTGTTCCTCTAGGTACAATCCTGAGAACCTGGCCACTCTGGAGCGTTATGTGGAGACGCAGGCCAAGGAGAATGCCTATGACCTGGAAGCCAACCTTGCTGTCCTAAAGCTGTGAGTATCTGCCCTGCCCCCACCCCTGTGCCAGTAGCCAGCAAGGTGCCACTCCCAAGATGGGGTGGAACTGGGAGGTTAACCTGCAGGAAGTGGCTTCTTTTGATATGCAAGATCAGGAAGCCAAACAAATTACAAAGCATATGTACAAGATGGTACATGAGATGACTGTGCAGTTAAATAAGTCATTATCAGTAAACATCCGTGTAACCACCATCCAGACAGCAAAATTCTGTGCTGCTAGTGCCCGGAGTCCTCTGTCCCTGCGCTCTGCCGAACAAGTCATTTCCCCATTTTGGCAGGCCCTCTCATGGCCAGACTTTATGTGATCGTTTGCCACATGTGCTCAGGGTGGCCTCTTTGAACTCGGCACAGATGGAGTCGTGCTGTGCAAGCTCCTCTGTACCTGGCGTCTCCTGCTCAGTACATGGGTTTTGTGTGTAGCTGCAGTTAGTCATTGTCATTGCTATATGATGTGCGGTTCTGTCCTCATTCCCCATTCTCTTGTTGAGGGACATTTTTTTTCCTACTGAAGCCCTTTCTGTGACACATGACCAGTGGGGTCATCTCTGCAGATCGGGGTGAAATTGTGGGATTGTTGGGTTGTTATTTGTTATAACCTCTGGTTAGTGAGTGCTCACCATGTGGCGCTGTAGACATACTAACTAATTTAGATGCTATGTTGTTCACATTTTGCTGTTTTGTTGCATACTGTGAGGTCCTGGTTTGCAAGGGAGGAAACTGAGGCACACAGGATTTAAAATTTGTAGCCCATGACCTTGGCTGAAAGCAAAGAGTACCAACAACAACAAAAAATGTTTACCTGTCTCTTAGTGACCGGAACGGCATTTGACTGTGTGGATCATGAAAGATTATGGGTAACATTGCAAAGAACGGAAATTCCAGAACACTTAAGCTGTGCTCATTGCAAAGTTTATAAATACACCAAGAGGCAATCATTGGAACGAAATAGGGGATAATGTGTGTTTAAATCAGGTGTACCAGCATCGTGTCCTTTCACCCTGCTCCTTCAGTGGTCAATGTGTATGCTGAGCAATTAATTGGAGAAGCTGGGCTGTATGAAGAAGAATGTAGCATCTGGATTTCAAGAAGACTCATTGCCCACCTGTGATATGCAGCTGGCACAACCAGCCACGCTTGCTGAAAGCAGAGAGGATTTTATGTATTTGTTGATAAAGATCAAAGACTACAGCCTTCAATATGAATTACACCTCAACATAAAAATAACAAAATCTCTCACAACTAAACCAGTAGACAGCATTCTGATAAACAAAACAGATTAAAATTGTCAAGGACTTCTTTTTACTTGGATCCACAATCAATACTCACAGATAAACAGCAGTCAAGAAATCAAACAATATATTGCATTGGAAAACTTGCTGCAGAAGACCTGTTGAGTGTTACAAAGCAAAGATGTCATTTTGAAGGCTGAGGTGCACCTGACCGAGTCCTGGTATTTTCAGTTGCCATGTGTGCATGTGTAAGTGGGACGGAAAATGGATGAAGAAGAATCCAAGTGTTTTGAGTTGTGGCGTTGATGAATATTGACTATATCACGGACTGCCCGAAAAATAAATTTGTTGTAGAACAACTACAGCCAGCATGTTCCTTGGAAGCGAGGCTGGCTTTGCATACTTTGGGCATGTTATCAGGAGGGACCAGTTCTTGGAGAAGGACCTCGTGCTTGATAAAGTATGAGTGGGACAGCCCAAAAGAGGAAGACCCTCACCAAGATGGATTGGCACAGTGGTTATAACAGTGGGCTCAGAAACAGCATCGATTGTGAGGAGGGCGTAGGTCCAGGCAGTATTTCATTCTGTTGTACATCGGGCCACTATGAATCAGAACCAACTTGACAGCACCTACCAACAGTCCAAGGTCACCCAGCAGAGAAATTGGATCCAGACCCTTCACCCCTACCCCAGATACTTGTCATACATTCTGCTGTATGGAATCCTGTCTGACAATGTCTGTCTCGTTGGATGAGTGCGTTAGTTATCCCTATCCATCTACAGAGCAGGAAAGTGAGCCTCAGGGAGATTAAGGTCACACAGCCAAAAAGCATAGTGGGTGGCATTGGAAACCAGACATGTCTACCTCAAGTTCCAGAGCTTGATGAGGCCAGAGCAGCGGGCACCTGGTGCAGCTCGGGGACCTGGAGGTACCACTATCACTGTCTTGTCTCCTTTCTCAGGTACCAGTTCAACCCAGCCTTCTTTCAGACCACAGTCACTGCCCAGATCCTGCTGAAGGCCCTCACCAACTTGCCCCACACCGACTTCACCCTGTGCAAGTGTATGATTGACCAAGCACGTGTATCCTTCAGCTCCAGGACTGGGCTTTGTGGGTGGATAGGGTGGCAGGTGTAGATGAATTCACAGGTCAGGGGCCTGCTCTAAGCTCACACTTGACTTGGAGGAAACAGCTCCCTATCAGTTATGACCTAGAGGATGCACTGGGGGCTCAGGGGAGCCAGAGAAGGCTCCTGATCCTGCCTGGAGGTCAGGGAACCTTTAGAGGAGGGAACATCTGAAAGGTGAAGAGTAAGGAAGGGTGGCTGCAGGCAGATGGAATAACGAATGACTTTAAGGAGACCTGGAGGAAAAGAACAGCTTGGTGTCCTCTTAAGAGACAGTAGTTCAGCAGAACCTTGCTGTAGATTTCAAGGTGGAATACCATCTGACTCAAAACTGGATAGTCACTGGGTAACCTTAGAAACTAACGCTCTGAGTGATGCAGGTGGATTTAAGCATTAGACAAGTTCCTCTAAGGGTTCCAGGCTAAGAAGGGAACCACTGGGCAAGAGGCAGGTGAAGATGCAGGTTTGACTTAGAGGGCAGGCTTCTGTTATATGGTGGATTAAAAAACGAACCCCAACGAGACATACGGTATACAATTTAAAGAGTAGCCAAGAAAATAACAAGAGCATACAGTGAAAAAGCAAGGCTTCCTTCCCCACCCTAAGCCTATCCCAGTCCACCCCCAGGAGGTGAGGAGTTTTCGCAGCCCTTGGTACCTTTCCATAGATAGCGTAAATGTGGTGGTGTGTTTATATGCACATCTTTTCCCTGAAAGGGCACATTGGATCTTGGACACAAGGTCGGCATCTTGCTCTTTCCAGCCCTCTCTGTCTTGTTGACTTCTCCATATCAGTGCTGGGAGTCAACAGGGTCCCAGCATGGGGACATGCCCTCATATTTCACAGCCCCCCTCACAGAGCCCTTCAGGTCTTTCTAATCTTTGCCTTTACAGCAATATGGGAGTCCCTTCCTTCTGCATGCAGTCACATAAAAAATAAGATGCATTTGTTTTCTAGTTCTCTTCTGAGCTGGTGGTGGGGAGGGATGGATCTAGCACTAGGCTCTGGGGCCGTTTTCCCTTAACCTTCCTCCTCCCAGCAAGAAGAGCGGCCCATCCGACAGATTCTATACCTCGGAGACCTCCTGGAGACCTGCCACTTCCAGGCCTTCTGGGTAACTGCCCCTGGGGCCAGGCTGGATGGGGCTGTGTGGAGCAGATGGTGTGCTGCCTCTCTGGTGCTGGGAGCCATCTCTGTCCTGCTAGGTTGTCCCCGGGCCTGTGAGACTCAGGCCCACCCTGTCTCCCGCTCATCCTTTGTATCCTTCACCTGGGCCCTCTGGTACTCGCTGTCATAAGGAAATGCCTTTCCAGCGCAGTCTTTTCTCTGAAGTTTCTCACAGAGCCCGGGCTTCCTGTGCGCGGGGCTGTTGGCCACCTTGCCTCTGTTCCTCCCTGCCCTTCCCTGAGCCAGCTCCCTCCCTGCCCTCAGCCCCCAGTCCTGGGTCCTGATGGAGGCTCCTCCTATCGGTGCCCTTCATGGTCATGCTCTGACCTGCTGTTGGGATCAGTGACAGTCTCCTCAGAGGACTGCTCCTTGTTCTTGTGGGCTATATTGTTGTTTGTGATTTGGGTGAATGTTGACAGAACAGATTGACTTCCCATCCAGCAGTGGCTACACATTAACTGCTTCTCATTCTTGAATCCAGCTCCTGCTCACGGCCCCCGCTCCATCAGTGATTCTCTGAGCCGCCGACCGCTCGCTTCCTTGCTCTGGTTTTCCTCTTCCTTGCTCTGGTTATCCTCTCTCATCTTGGACCTGACCTTAGCCCCTTGCCCCCATGGTCATAGTCTTGGCCAGTTCTCAGCTCAGCAAACCCCTGAGGAGCTTTAAAAACTAGGTGCTGCCCTCCCAGTGTCTGGCTAGGCTTTAGGATTTTAAAAATGATCTTGGGTAATGTGACCTCTGGTGTGGTGCTGTAGGATCAGCACTGGACTGCTCTTCAGACCCACCCGTTGCTCCCCGGAAACTGACTCGGTGGCACTTAGCACCAACAACAACAGTCTGACCTGTGGCCACAGGTTGGGGACCACTGCTCTCCCTAGACTTGCCCTCCCCGATAATGACACCCTTTCCTCCCAGGAGTTTCAGACATCTCCACCCTCTGATTCCTTCTATACCCGCCTTTCCAGCCCACTGATGGGGGTCCCGAAGCCAGCACTCGGGGGCCTGTTCACATCCTCGTGTCCTGCTTTCTTCTTTCTCAGAGTAAACCTTGGATTCCTCCCTCCCTCCTGGTCGGTGTGGCCCAGCTCCCGCCCCCTCCGCCCCCACTATAAGCACATCACTCCCCGAAGTCTCCAGCCCCTTCTGCAGTCTGCCTTCCTCGCCCAGTTGACCCCCTCTCCAGCTGCTCCAGACACTTTCCCACCTCCTATTTCCCTCCTCCTCACCTCAACTGGTCAGCTGGCTGCTTGTTTGGTGGGGATATGGGAGCAGCCAAAGCAGAGTGCACACTTGCTCCCACCTTGGTCACAACATGCTACCTGCCGCCAGCCCCCATGCTTCTCGCCTTTAGGAGACCAGGGAGAGGAGTTTTCTAAAGCAACTTCTCTAAGGTGCTTGGGTCCCCCCTCTCCATGTGACATCATATTGTCATTTCTAGACTGTCTGCTACATAGAGGCGTGTCTAACTGCATGTTAGTTCTCATAGTCAAAAAGGGACACTTGGCCGCTGACCTCCACATCCCCTCTACCGCCCCCTTTCTCTGCCCCTCTTTATAGCCCTACTCCTGGGTAGAGGGCCCACCTGCTCCACTAGTTTTCAGGAAACCCTTCAGTGTGGGGCAGACTGGCGTTTGGTCACCCTCTTCCTGGCGCATACTCTCTGTACTCAGTCTCTACTCTCTTGAACCTGCTCCCCTTGGACTGTTACACTCCCCCCCACTAGCACACCCTCCACTGAGCTGCCCCAGGTGAGCCCACTCTGCTTCTGAGGCTGGCTTCAGCTAGGACTTCTCCTGGTCTCTCCTCCCACCTCTCTGGCTGGTCTCCCTCACCCGTGTTGGAGAGAGCCCTGCCAGGGAGGTGGCATTCGGCCCGTGATCTCAAGGGGGTGATGCGGCCAGGCCTGGGAGAGGAGTCGGGACAGGAACCGTCAGAGCGGGCGTATGAGGAGTAGTCAGGGCCCAGAGCTACAGACAAAGGGGGTGGGGGTGAGGGGAAGCGACTGCCAGAGGTGACTGCAGAGGTGACTGAAGCACATTGTCTGAGGCTTCAACTTTCATCTGGTGAGAGACAGGAACATGGGAGGTGCTTGCGTGCAGCTGGCTAATTTGTACCTGTCCCCTTTGGTGGGTCCCTGTGCTCTGTCTGCTGGGTTCACACCCAACTCTTTCACCTTGGGGGAACCATTGAGCTGCTCTGGCCTTGGCTTCTGGTCTCTAAGATGGGCATGGCCACAGTGACTGTTAGGTCAGGTTTCCTAGGAGGGAGCCTGGCCCGACAGGGGCGAGCACTGAAATGTTAGCTGCTGGTATTGTTAGTGTTAGCATCTCTGGGTATTCATTCTCTTTCCCCTCGCAGCAAGCCTTGGATGAAAACATGGACCTCTTGGAAGGCATTACAGGCTTTGAAGACTCTGTCCGGAAATGTAAACCCCTCTCAGCCTGGGCTTCCCTAGTGGGAGGAAACAGGGCATGGGGACTGGGAGCAGGGCCCTGGGGGGTGACCCCTCACCAACTTTGTGTCTGACCTTCACAGTTATCTGCCACGTTGTGGGTATCACTTACCAGCACATAGACCGTTGGCTGCTAGCCGAGATGCTCGGGGATCTGACAGGTAGATTTTCCTCTGGGTACCCCCCATGTACAAACCGAGAAGCTTAGGGGTGCTCAGGAGTAGTGAGCCTGGGCCTGCTCGGCAGATGGGCCTCAGCAGGTGTTTACTGAAGTCCAATCCAAGGGGGAGACTGGAGTTGGCACAAGAGAGCCCTTCCTTGGGGGAGATCTTCAGCTACACTCACTGATGCCGTATAAACTGAGTTTGGCTGCTGTAGGTCAGACACTGTTCAGGTCCTGGGGAGACAGCAGTGAACCTAATGCAACACTCAGCTTTCTTCTCATGAGGAAACAAAACAGATGCCAGGTTAAGACATATTTGTGCAAGGCAGCCTGTTAAAAAGGGGCAGGGTGGGGCAGGAGTTCAGTGTTGGAGAGAGAGGGTCCCTGGCAGTGGGGGGTGGGCAGCCCAGGGCAGGGTGGAGGACGCTCCTAAAGCTGGCTGAGCTGTGTGCCTTGTGCTTACAGACCAGGGTTGCCAGGGAGGGGCAGCATGGCTGGAGCCGGGGGTATGTGGGGGTGTGTGTGTCAGAGGAGTAGCAGTTGGAAGGGACCTGCAGAGCACGTGGGCCCCCGCTTCACCAAGTGAGTTCTGAGCACAGGAGGGATGGGATCCAGTCCAGGTCTTTAAAAGGTTTCCTCTAAGATTGCAAAATAAGGGGGCTTCAAAAAGTTCATGGAAAAATTCCATTGTCTTTTCATTCTATTTTCCCACAAATTTTTTGAAGAAAACCCCTCCTGTTTGCTTGTTTTGCCAAAAAAATGAAAAGGCAGGAAGGAAGATGAAGAAACTAAGGGAAATGACCACTCCTGGGGGCATGGGGGGGACTGAAAGGGGACTTTTCTCATGTATGAGGGAACTTCAAAAAGTTGCTGAAAGAATTCCATTCTCCTTCAATTGCATTTTTCCACGAACTTTTTGAAGCTCCCTCATAACATGTTTTGCCATTTGATCCACATATTTTTTTTTTTTCTTTTTTTAAATAGCAGAAACAAACTATTTTCTTAGTTATGGTAAGAGAACATCAGAGGTGGGAAGTGAACTCTTACTGGGTACACTGTGTCAGGCCCTATACCACCTGCTCACCTCGGGGAGCTGGTGTATGATTTTACAAAGTGAATTCAGTTCACAGGTGGCACCAGCCTTAGAATGGGCTAGAGAGAAACAACTGAATCTAATTCTGTTGATTACATTGATAACCTAACCAGCCCCACTGCCATGGGATCAGTTCCAATGCATAGCAACCCCATAGAGCAGGATAGAACTGCTCCCTAGGGTTTCCAAGCCTGCAAGTCCTGTGGGAGCAGACAGCATCATCTTCTTCCCGAGGAGCATTTGGTGGGTTTGAACCACTGACCTCTTGGTTAGCCCAGTGCTGAACTCGTTGAACCACCAGGGCATCTTGACGCAATCACTGACTGAGCAACTGGTACTATGGCACCACACCAGGACCCCATAACTCTTGTTAGGAGCCAAGATTTTTACCGGGAGGGAAAAGAGGTGAATATAAAATTAAGAGAAATGAAGGCAAAAGTCTTGTGAAATGAGACTATGAAACCACTCCCCCTGGTGGCAGATCAGAGAATGACCCATCGAAGGGCAGAGCCACCACAGTGAGGCAGTCAGGCCACAAGGGTGCCCAGGCCTATTGGGCCTCGAGTCCTCTGGTTCCCAGGCCCCCTGGGGAGGTAGGATCAGGGTAACCAAAAATCCCTCCATGGTGCCATGTGCTTGCAGACAGCCAGCTCAAGGTGTGGATGAGCAAGTATGGCTGGAGCGCCAATGAGTCGGGCCAGATCTTCATTTGCAGCCAGGAAGAGAGCATTAAGCCCAAGAACATCGTGGAGAAGATTGACTTTGACAGTGAGTGCAATGGCCTGAGGCCTCGCGCTGTGTGGGGTGGGAACGAGGCTGGGGCAGGCCCCAGAAGTCCTTAGCTTCCAGGTGCCTCTGACCCTTTACGGCATTACTCGCCAGGAAGGGCCATGGGGTGCTGGGTGTCCTCCAGAACTTCCAGGCCCAGCTTCCTGCCCCACAATACTCAACAAGACTTCCCGGAGCCTAGAGGGGACCTTGTAGGCTGATTCCAGGGGGTGAGTCTGTCAGATGCCAGAGTCTGGCCTCTGCTGAAACACTGTAGGCTCTGGACCCAAAGAAGTGGGGTTTGAATTGTGGCTCCTTGATTTTATAGCTGGCCAATTTTGGGGCTTCTCTGTTTTCACTTAAAGAAATAAAGGAAAAAAAAAAAAAATGAGGGTGTCAGCAACAATAATGGTAACAAAGACTGTGTTTGTTCTGGACACTTACTAAGTCATTTGATCCTCCATTCCACCCTGGAAGGTGGGTACCATTGTTAGACATTGCTGTTTAGAGCAATATCCATGTCCTGAAGTATCGTGAGGTGAGATGAGCCATGTGTGTAACACTTAGCAGAGAGCCGCTGTCCATGGTCCCCAGCACAGACACACAGCCCACCTGTGGCCCCACTAGGAAAGTGCATGAAAGAGAGAGCCCCTTTGGTAGTGTGTACCGTCTCACGAGTCTGCTTGCTGAGGGGACAGGGCTGGGTTCCTCTGGGCCTTGAGCCTTCTGGCCATCCCCTCGGTTGACAGTGCACCTCTCACTACAATCAGCTGATTTGGGAGCTAGCGTTTGAACAACACCTCTAACCTCAGTCATCTGCCTCTGGAGGGCGATAGAACCTGACCTCTCATGAGCCCCCCTCTGTCTTGAGCTTCCACATGAAAATTCACTTGAGCAGGGGTCTGCCACCTGGAGCTCAGAGGATCTTGCAGGCAGGCCATACATAACAAGACTTCTTAGTGCCCAGCATTACTCTAAGCACTTTTGTTAGTCCTTACGACCATCCTACATGGCAGATGGGGAAACTGACTTACTGAGGTGGTTTAGTAATTTGCCCAGGGTCACCCAGCTGGTAAGTGGTAGAGCTGAGATTTGAACCGAGGCTTCCTAACTTCAGAATCCATGCTTTGAACCACCTCCCCAACTGCCTCTGTGCTGATGAGGGGGCCCCAGGAGGGTTAGAGATCCATCCGCTGTGATTAGTGGCTGGAGATTGACTTCCCACTCTAACCAACTGCGCTGATGTGGTTCTCTCTTCTCCGCAGGTGTTTCCAGCATAATGGCCTCTTCCCAGTAACTCTGCAGGCATTTAATAAAAATCTGTTGGTTTCTTAGCCTGGCTGTGTCGTAGACGTGCTGCTTCTGCCCTTTGTCCAGCAGAGGGAGCCCAGGAGCTGGCCTCTGCCCCACCCTGTTCTGGCTCCTTTTGCCTGCCTCCTTGCTCCTGTCCATCTAGCAACCTGTCCACTGCCACCGTCCTGACCTGTCATATCACTAGTGAGTCAGTGAGGAGGAGCCCAGCTCTGACCTGGGCTCTCTAGTGTCCTGGTGAGACAACTTCTGCCTGGGTGGACCCTGCAGAGGCTGTATGCGAGTATTGGGGGGTGGGGAAACTCTGTCCCTTCACCCACGGCGTGTCTCTAGCCCATCCGTGTAAGGGGAAGAATGCCGATGCCCATCTTGCAGTTGCCAGCATTTGGTGATGGCTTGCCAGTGAAGTTCTCCATTCTGGCCCTAGCCTGGTGGACTTGGCATCAATTCGACATTTGGCAGAGTTTTTGCAAGTGGCAGAGTGGTCCCCAGTACTTGTCTGTGTCGAGAGAAGGCACAAGAAAATTGAGAGGGGAAACAGTTGAGACAACACGTAGCAAAATGACACAATCAATTCATACCTAGTGATAATCACACTGAATGTCAATGTCAATGGATTAAATGCACCAGTCAGGAGAGAGAGTAAGCAGAAGGAATAGGAAAACAGGATCCTTCAGTATGCTGTCTACAAGAGACACCCCTAACAAGGACAAAAATAGACTTTAAAGCAAAAGCCAACATAAGAGACAAAGGACATACCGAGACTTAAAGGATCAATTGAAGAGGACAACCATAATAAATGTTCCCAAGAAAAGAACGTCAAAATACATAAACTGATAGAACTGAAGAAAAACAGCTCTACCATAATGTGGTGTGCCGATTCTGACCCAAAACTACCCCATGTAGGGTTTCCAAGGCTATAAATCTTTATGGGAGCAGAAAGCCTCTTTGTCCTGTGGAACAGCTTTATAGATTCCAACTACTGACTTGGGTTGGCAGTCCAACTTGTGGCCCACTGTGCTACCTGAGCTTTATCATGTTACGTGTTGTAGAGTCCATTCTGCCTCGAGACGTTCTATATGGGGTTTCTGAGGAGCTGCTGGTGGGTTTGAATTGCCAACCTTGTGGTCCAGAGACCAGTGCTGATCCTACAGTGCCAAGAAAGTTGAACCAGGGCAACTTGGTGCCCATGTACCCTCGAGGCAAGTGAAGTGTCAACGTACGCGGCTGCCTCATTTAGCCATTCCAGTCTCCCTGTCCCTGAATCTAAGTGTCCACCAACTTCTGTGCTACTGGCCAGAGAGTCGATCATCCTTATTTTGCCAGTTTCTATGGGTCAATTCCAACTCACGCTGTAGTATCTGTACAGCTCTGCTTTGTAGGGTTGTCAAGAGTTAATTTTAGGGAAGTAGATTGCCTGTCTTCTAAGGCACCATAAAGCAGCCTTTTGGATAGCAGCAGATAAGGATGCTAGGCATTTATACCACCTAGGGACTTAGAATCCTTGGGCAAGTTTCTTTTCCTCCAGCCTGTTGTATCTTCTTCAGGGAGCGGGTAGAGGCCTACGCCACAGGGATTCAGCCCTTAGTGTAGGTTGGTGGCTGACACCAGTGTATGTCAACTTGGGGGAAGGTGGATGGGGCAGTACCAGGGCATGAGCCTTTGGCCTTCCCAGCCCTCTGCTTGCCTGCACTCTCTTGGGGACCTAGGGTGGGTACAAACCCTGGTGACAAGAAAGGGAAGCAGCTTGAGGTCGGTAGCAGGGAAGACATGATACTCGCTGGTGGAATCAAGTAGCCAGATGTACTCTTTGGATGGGCTCAACTCCCACTCACCACATGGCAGGTGCCTCCATGTAACAAACTGCTGGTTATAGCAGCTATTGAGGAGGCGAACAAATGGCCTTGACTTTGTCCTTGCCCTTGTTGACAACTTCCAGCTCCAAGAGTATTGTCCTTTGAACGGCTAAGTGACCTGGCAATGGAGAGACTGTCTGGGTTCCAATTCCAGTCTAGTAACCTTTGAACGTCAATTCTATGATCTTCCTTATTCACTGTCCAGCTTTCGCATCCATATGAGGTTATTGAAAACACCACTGCTTGGGTCAGGCGCACCTTAGTCCTCAAGCTGACATCTCTGCTCTTCAACACTTAAAAAAGTTCCTGTGCAGCAGATTTGCCTAATGCAATACGTTGTCTGATCTCTTGACTGCTGCTTCCGTGAGTGTTGATAGTTGATTCAAGAAGAATGAAGTCCTTGACAACCTCAATCTTTTCTCCATTGATAAGAATGTTGTTTATTGGTCCAGTGGTGAGGATTTTTGTTTTCTTTACATTGAGCATTGATGCCTTTGAGTTGTGTTGCTGGAGGAGAATACTGAAAGTGCCATGGACTGCCAAAAGAACCAATAGATTTGTTTTGGAAGAAGTGCAACCAGAGTGCTCCTTGGAGGCCAAGATGGCTAGGCTTCGTCTCTCAGACTTTGGACACATTGTCCGGAGAGAACAGTCGCTGGAGAAGGATGTCATGCTGGGTAAGGTGGAGGGTCAGAGAAAAAGAGGAAGACCCCCAACGAGATGGATCAGCCAGGTGACATCATTGATGGCGTCAAGTGTGGCGGCGGTAGTGAGGTTGGCCCAGGATCGGACATTGTTTCATTCTGCTGTGCATGGGGTCGCTATGAGTCGGTTCCGACTTGATGGCACCTGACAACAACAACAACCTTTGAACACATTCACCTCTCTGTGTCTCAGCTTGATTGTGGGGGAAGTCATCATAGTACCCAGTTTGTTTTGTTATGAAGCGTAGTGGTTATGAATCGGGCTGCGAACCTTAAGGCCAGCAGTTCGAATATCAGCTGCTCCGCGGGAGAAAGATGAGGCGTTCTGCTCCCGTAAAGATTTACAGCCTCGGAAACCCTGTACAGGGTTGCTATGAGTCAGAACCGACTCCACAGCACTTAACAACAACAACAGGTGAAAAGCTTGGCACATTGTGAGAAGTTATAAACCTGGGGCTGTCTCCAGATTGTATCATGGTGATAGTGGCCTATCGTTGCTCTGGGCTGCTGTTCCAAGCTGCTTCCTTAGTCCCGTTTAGACATCCCAGGAGCCATTGTCACATTCTCTTCTCATTTCCTCTAAATGTTATTAACAATGAGACTGAGTAATCAGTTCTGACCAAAGTCTTCCAGGGTTCCAAGAAATGATAATGCAGAAAAGAGGAACCTGAAGTTGCTGCTGGTGTGGCATGGCAGGAACAGCAACAGCACTGAACTGCAAACTACCAGGTTGGCAGTTCAAGCCTGCCAGCTGTTCCTTGGAAACCCTATACAGAGTTGCATGAGTTAGAATCAACTTGAACAGTACTTAGCAACAACAACAAAGTTGCCCCTAGCATAGTGGGTTGTTAAATGTTATTGAGTCGGTTCCAATTCAGCAACCCTGTATAGGGTTTTAGAGGAGCTGCTGCTAAGCATGAACCACCGACCTTGCAGTTCAAACTGACCTTGCAGTCCATGCATTAACTCACAGCGCCACACCAAGACTCCACACAGTGGGTAAACAGCTATCAACTAAAAGGTCGACCATTTGAATGCACCCAGAGATTCCTTAGAGGAAAACCTGATAATGTTCTGAAAAATACATTGAAAGCCCAATAGAGTGCAGTTGTCCGACACACATGACATCACCATGAGTCAGAACTGATTCAGTTGAATGAAAACTGGCTAGGGTCCACTGGTCTTACTTAGCTCAGAACTCCTGGTCTTCTGCCTCCTTTGAACCCCTGGCTTGTTGCCCTGTTGGGCCCTCAGTAGACAAATCAGCTACTATTACACTGCCCATGGGTGCCTGCTGGGAAGTGGCCTCAAGACTGGCAATTAAAGGGAGCCTTTAATTTAAACCTCATTGTCTGGGGCTGTCCCTCCATCACCCTGTCCTTGGTCTGGCAGGTTGCTCAGTGCCCCATGGCCTGAGGGTTTTTCCCACCAGGCTGGGGCCCAGCACACAAGTCCTGGGTTTGTCATCCAAGTTGGGTAGGAAGAGTCTGCCCTGCCCAGTCTCGTCCCACCTTTGGAAGCAGCCAACACTCCTAGGTCTTTAGCCACGTCCTGACATCCCCTGGGGAAACAGGCTGCTCTCTGGCCTTGTCCCCTTCCTCTGCTTGCCTTTGGGTCCCTTCAGCAGAAGAGAGTTAAGTATCCTATACTTGGAGGAGCCATGCCTTCTAATTCCCACCCCAAGTCGTTGGGCTGTAGAACAATCCTCTCTTTTCACACTGCCGTTTTTTTGTTTTTAATGTTTTACTGTGATTTATGTGATAGTTTACATGGGAGAACATTAGTTTTACATGCATTCTATTGTATATCGTCTCTTTGCCATGGTTACAATCCCCTCCATGCAATCCTTCCCCCGTGCCCCCCAGGTCTTCAGCACACAATCGCTCTCCCTCTCTGGGTCTAAAGTCTCCAGCTGCTCCATCGCTCCACATCATCATCTCTGGCTCCATTTCAGGCATCACTGCTTCTCTGGGTAGGGTCCCGCTCTCTGCTCTTCTCCCTTGATGGTCCTAGGGACCTCCGCTCCTAGACTGAAAAGTCAATCACTCCCCTCCTTGCTATAAAACATCTACCTTTACATTTCTGACCCTCACAAACAGTCCTGATATCAATTATTCACTGTTGTATCACAAGAGACCTGTCTGCATTTCATTGCATCAGCCCCAGCTAGTCAGATTGAATACTACTCACTGGAGATTCTACCTTCCTCCAGGCCCTCTGGATCTAGGTTCCCTCTTGAAAGCTTGTAAGCCAGTCACTTCTTGCCTTTGTAGCCCCCCATCCTCGGAAACCCTGTACAGGGTCGCTATGGGTCGGAACCGACTCGACGGCACTTAACAACAACAACAAACCCCTCATTTTGAGTAGCCAATGTCCAAGTTGCCCATCCCTGTCTACTGTGTGTGTGGAGGGGGTGGGAATGATTCTTGCTGTAAGGACTCACAATGCCTTTTTGTACTGTTGTTGAGTTGGTTCCAACTCATGGCAACCCTGTATAGTGTTTCCAAGGAGCAAGTGGTGAGTTTGAACCATCAACCTTGTGTTTCAAAGTGGCTTTGCGGTCAAGTGGTTACCCTATGGCGCCATGCTAGGATCCATAGCTTGGATTCATGGAGACTTTACACATAACAAAATGAACTGTCTGATCCTGTACCCCTCTCATGATAACGTTTGAGATCCTTGTTGAGGCCATTGTGCAGTGGCTTCCAACCTAGGGAGCTCATCTTCCAACATTATATTCGACAGTATTCTATTGTGATCCAGAAAGTGTTCATTGGCTAGTTAGAAATAATGTAGATTGCTGAGTCTGTCTTAGTCTGGAAGCTCAGCTGAAATCTACTCTAGATGACCCTGAAGGTTCTTGGCATGGTGGCAGAGCTTCCTGGGATCAAAGCAACATGCTGACCTCTACAGTATGGCAGATGGGTAGATGGGTGGTGGAGGACTCAGTGAATTAAGGACTCAGTGAATCCTTTACCTGCCCAATCAACCAGTACCTTTGTCCTGTGCCCATCTTGTGAATCCTTTCAGTTTTTGCATCAATGTTTGCCTTCTCCATGAAGCCTGCCCCTGAGTACTTAATTTACACTGCAGCTCAGGTTTGATTTTTTTCCCTCCGTAACACTTTATTGTGGTTGTTGAGTTGGTTATGATTCATAGCGATCCTATACACGTTTTCCAAGGAGCGGCTGGTGAGTTTGAACCACCAACCTCACAGTTCAAACTGACCTTGCGGTCTGGTGCTTCTCCTACAGCGCCATACCACTTAACCACCTTCAAAGAACCAAACCCACTGCTGTGGAGTCAATTCGGACTCATGGTGACCCTATATGACAGAGGACAGCTGCCTCATATGGTTTCCAAGGCTGATAATGCCATGGGTTAAATGCTAGGCTCCACAGGGTTGGCAGAAGGTTGAAGCTGTCTATTCCAGTAAAGATTTAGTCTTAGAAACCCTATGGGACAGTTCTACTTTGTCCTATACAGTTCTTAGGAGTCTGAATTGGTACGTTTGGTTTTTTAAAAATCGGCCACATCTTCAACCACCTACCTTTTGCCCTTGTGTGGTGCTGAGGATAAGCACTGGGACCACAAGGTCAGTGGTTCAAACTCACCAACTGCTCCTCAGAAACCTTATACAGGGTCATTAGGACTCCTGGTGTAGCACAGTAGGATCAACACTGCCAACCACAAGGTCGGAAGTTCAAACCCACCAACTGCTCCTTAGGAACACTATGTTGTTAAGTGCCATCGAGTGGGTTCTGGTTTATAGCGACCCAGTATGGGGTTTTCAAGTAGTGACTAGTGAATTTTGAATAGGGTCGTTATGAGTCGGATTAGCAACCGAGTGCTTAGCCACTGTGCCACCGGAGTCCCATAGTTAACATTTTTTTTTGTTGTTAGTCTCTCCCTACAAGAAGCAGTTCCATAACGGCAGGCAGTCTTATCTAGTGGGCTGTCAAAAAGCAAACTGGAGTCTTTCTTTAAAGCAAAGAAGTTTATTGAAGGACTAAAAAGACCTTTAGTAGACTGTCAGCACTTGTGAGAGTATTCACAAACGTATTAGGGTGAGAGTCCAGGAATTCACAAGAAAAAAAATTTGGTTGAAATTTACAAAATCATGCTTTAACAAACACTCTCAATTCCCCTGAGAGCTGTTTTGTTAATCATAAAGTTTGAGTCAGTTAAAGTCTTGTTAATTTATAGATATTTGGAGGGCCAGCCTAAGTGTAAGCCTTCCTGGGAACATGCTGCGGTAGGAAGCGGGAGGAGGGGAACCCGCAGGCTTCCTGAGGTACACTGGCTAGCTGACTTTTGAAAGTCAGCTCGGAATAAACAGTAAACAGCAAAAATGGAGCCCAGTTTAGAGGTTTGGCAGAAACCTCCCCTTACGCCAAACACCTAGTTTTTTAAAAAGCTCATTCACAGCATAAAACACGATCTGGCACACAGTAGGAGCTCAGTGAATTTGTGTTGCTGAATGGAAATCCATTCCCTGCCAGACAGAGCAAGTTTGGCGGGATGGTGAGACCCGCCTAATGAAATCATTCATAACTGGCCCCGCCCACAATCGGAGCACAAACACGCGCGCGCTATCGCGGGAGAGGCGGAGCATCCTGTAGTGTCTGAAGAAGCGGTGGTTTCTGCGCAGGCGCTGGACGCTTCCCAGATGGGTCTTCGTGCTTTTTTGATCTGGCAGGCGCGCACGCGTGCGGGAGGGGGGCGGTGGAGGCGCGGTGCGCAGGCGCGGAGGACAGTGCGCAGGCGTAGAGGAGGGCGGTCTGAAGCAGCAGAGGCGGTAGCGACGGCGGCTGCAGCGGCTCGGCCAGAGGGGCGGGAGCTGAGGCGGGAGCGGACGGGCTGGTGGACAAGCAAGAGGCGTCGGAATGGTGGACTACCACGCGGCGAACCAGTCGTACCAGTACGGCCCCAGCAGCGGTGGCAATGGCGCCGGCGGCGGGGGCAGCATGGGTGACTACATGGCCCAGGAGGACGACTGGGACCGGGACCTGCTTTTGGACCCGGCCTGGGAGAAGCAGCAGCGCAAGGTGCGCGGCCCGCGAGCCGAACGGGATGGGGGCCCGGAGGAGGGCACTGGAGGGCTGGGATGGAATTGGGGGTCCTGGGAAGGAATTGGCGGGTGTGGAGGAGGAATTTGGGATTCTGGAGGGCAATTGCAGGGCCTGAGAAAGGAAGTGGGAGTCTGAAAAATAATTAACGTCTGAGTAAGGAGCTAAGGAGTCTTAAAAAAAAAGCAACCAAGGAGTCTCAAGAAGGAATGGGGGAAAATCGATTGGGAGTTTTCAGCTGGACTTGGGGTCTGAGAGTACTGGGAGGAGAAACTGGAGAGTCTGGGCCAAGGGATTTGCGGGACCGGGTGGAATTAGGGGTTTGGGGAATCTGAAGGGGGTTATTTAGAACTCAGGAAGGTCTGAAGAGGTAGACACCTTGTGGTGGGGGAGTTCCAAAGGGGATGGGAATTGGGAGTCTGAGGATGGAGTTGGGGGTACTAAGGGTGTCAGTGTGGAGTTGGAAGTGGAATGGGAGGACTGGGGAGGCTGAGAAGGTGGAGAGACCAGAAGGGTTTTTCGAGGAAAGAATTGGGTGCAAAAAAACATGGGGTGTAGGAATGGGGTAGGGATGCCCGGGAATTTAGCCAGGATTGGGGGCGTCTAAAGGATGGGTGCTGAGCGGATCTGTAAGAACTTTTTGAAGGTGAGATTGGGTGTGCTCTGTCCTAAAAGGAAGAGGAGGAGATTGATAGAAATGTGAGGACTTGATGGGATGGAAAAACCAAAGACAGTGGAAAGAATTTGGGGGGTCTTGAAGAGGGATTTCTGAAGAACTGATGGAAAGTTGAAAAGCTTGGTCAAATGGGAGCAAAAGGTGGTGTGGAAACAGTGAGCTCAGTAGTAGGGAACTATGGGAGGGAGATTGTTGTTAAGTGCTGATTCTGACCCATAGTGACCCGGTGTAGGGTTTCCAAGGAGCGGCTGGTGGGCTTGAACCGCCGACCTTGTGGTTCAAACCGACTTTGCAGTGCAGTGTATTAACCCACAGCGCCACACCTGGAGGGAGATAGGTTTGGGAAATCAAAGCCCCCTTAGAAAAGGAATGTGTGATGGAGAAGCTGCAACAGGAATTTTAGGGGGCAAGGAGTGGGCTTCTGGAGATGCGTTCCTGGGACAGGAGGGTATGCATGTGTTGGCAGAGAGAATGAGGAGTTTGGGGAGGAAAAGTTGAGTTTCCAGGAAGAATTAGAGCCCTTTTTAGGGGGTAGAGAGGAGAGGTGAAGGTACCCTAGTGCACCGTCTGTCTTCAGATAGACTTAGGAGTATGGAAGCAGCTTAAAGGGGACCTACAGTAGCGTGTTGGCACTGTAGGATCAGCACTTGACTGCCAACCACCAGGTGAGCAGTTCAAACCCACCAGCCGCTCCTTGGTTGCTCGCTATGAGTCAGAACTGACTCAGTGGCACTTACCAACAGTAGTGAAAGGGAGATGAACAGTAGAGTGGGAAGCTCAGTGGAGGCATTGGGGTGTGTGTAGGGGGTCCATCCAGTGTGATTGAGGGGGCTGTTTCTCAGCTGATAGGAAGAGGGTTTGGGTGTGTGCAAGAAGAGCTAAAGAAAGGAGTGTGTGTGTGGGTGTGTTTTGGGAGGGGGTTGTTCCAAAGTGGTGTGTGTGAAGAGGGTGGGAGGAACTTGAAGTGAGAGGTATTTAATGTGCTTCCAGAGCTGGATTCTCATCCCAGATTTGTTACTAATCAAATCCTTGGCCCGAGGAGAATCTTGATTTCTGTGCAGTTCTGTCACCTGGAAACGGAGAAAGAGTCAAAAGGGGGTCCTTCCAGTGATTTCTTCCAAGGTGGATGTGTATAATGGTGGGGCTCTGAAGATTTGGGAGAGTGGACTTGGTGATGTTTTTTAGGAACGTGGGGTTTAGGAAAGATGGAGAGTATGGACTGGAAGTCTCTTGAGGGAGTAAGTGGATGCTCTGGGCTCAGCGCAAGCCTCCAGTCTGAGGGGAGCAGGGCTGCAGTAGGTGGGGCAAGTGGAAGGAGCAGCTGTTCTAAGGCAGCCTTGGGTGGAGCCTGACATGACCTTGGCTAAATCATCCACCTGTGTGTTCACTTCCTTATAGTGACTGGGGGCGCAGAGGTGAGGTGGGGGAGTAAGGTGGGGATGGTGTCCTTAAGGTCTGCCACCTTACCACCACCTGACAGTGTGGGCAGGTTGAGATAGCTGATTACAAGGTGTTTTTTTTTTTGAGGGAGGAAGGACTCTAATTCAACAATAATTGATTGCCTGAGGCCGTCTGTGCCAGGTTGGAAAAGGTTAAGAGTTGCCAAGAGACTGGAAAATGGAGCGGGGAGGGGGATCACAGGTTTACTTTTGAGAATGTCTAGGGTCTGCTTTCTCCAACTTCAGGTGCTTGGGAAGATGACCCCTGACCCTTACTTTGCTTTCAGAGAGTGAAGGGCCTTCCATTTCCTTCGCTTCCTGTCTTCCCTACCACTCCCCAAGTGACTCCCTGTGCTAGCTCGCTCCCACTCCCTTCTGGGAGTTAGGGTGTGTGCTCCTGGTTAGAGTCACCCTTGCCTGCAGGGTGAGGCTGGGCCACCCATCAGGCTCTGGGAGGGAACCAGGACTCACCGGCACCCCAAGGCCTTGCTGCTCCCTTCCTCCAGTGTTGGCAGGGTTGAGGGGGAGGGCAGGTAACTCACTAAGACTAGCTGAGGGCCAAATTCTAGCATGTCCTGCTTTCTACCTACTCCAGCAAATATTTACACTGAGCTGTTCTTCGGAGAGAAAATATTGCTTCATTGCTGTACACTTTCCTGTTCTTGTGGGTGAGGGGTGGGTGAGGGTCCTGTGTGAAAAGGGAGGAGTAGTGGAAAGGAATAACCCAGTATGTGCTGTTCTCTCCCTTCTTTCCGAGAGGAGACCCTCACATCCCCCACCCTGTGCACACACCAGGCTGGCTGAGCTGTATTGTTTTATTGAAAGACATACCGTCCTTACTCTCCAAGGTAGAGCCACCTGGCACAGGGAGGTGACAGTCCTGTAAATGTCATGTGTGTGCTCATGTATCCTCAAAATCTATGTTCAGGACAGCCCTTAAAGATGTGGAATTAAGTTCTAGGAGTTACGCAAGGATTGGCCCAAGTCAAAGGCGTATGTCTCCCATTGGTCTCCCTTCTACCTGGAAGTCCTTTGCTCTGACTTCTAGGCTGAGTGTCTAACTGGAATGAATTTGTTCGAATTCCTGCTTCTAGGGACCCCTGTAACCAAAGCATTATCAGATAAGTAGGTTATGCAACAGCTTTTATAGGCCTTGTTTGCCTGGGGGGTGGGGGAAGCACTGGGCTGGTCTTTGAGTAAGTTCTTGAGCCATTATCTTTGTGGGCCACAGCTCCCGCTCCCTATTTCTGAAAGGGGCTTGAGCGACCTTACCACCCCCTGCTTCCTTGGAAGGGTGAGAGCTCTTCACACTGCTTCTCAATATCACTGCTTGCAGGCCTGCTGAGTTTAGACGCAACTCTTGCCTGGTCTATTTAAGTGTGAGGTAGTTATTTGAATGTTGTGATAGTGTTTGTGTGTTTATTTATTTATTTCAAGTCAGCTAGATGATGGAGGTCCCAGAGTAACTCTCCTGTTATTTTGTTCCACCGTCCTCTAATTGTTTGCCTCTTAAGATCTGACTTAAGACTAACAAGTCCTTAGCAGTTTTCAAAATTGAATAATGTACATGTTCTGTTCCCCCCAGCCCCGCCAAAAAGTAACTCAGCAGTCAGCTGTCATCTAGAAATAAGACGATGCAAATAGGGAACAGAGCAGGTACACTCAGGTCCTCTAACTACACAGCTCTCAGTACTATACACCCCCAGTCTTTGAAAGACTGAAGAAGAGGTGAGGTACAGGAGTACAGGCCAAGGGTCCTTGTAGCCTGTCACTCACTGTGAGAAAGTAGAAATCCAGTTGGTGCCACCTAATCTGAGGCAGTCCAGGGCGTGGGCCCAGGGTTGCCCTCTGCCTTTTGAAACACCCTCCCTGGTTCCGGCTTCAGAGTCTAGCAGGCAGCTGACTCACCCTCCAGTTGGAACTAGTACTAAAAGGTTTCCTCTCCTGACAGTTGATGGTTGGCCTTACGTGGGCTGCCTTGTGGAGAAAGTTTGGTCATATTAGAGGAAAACAGCCCAGGAAATGAGAGTGGTTATTTACATACTGCTAGTGCTATTCAACCCCTGAGCTGCAGTTGTGGAGGTCAGTTCCAATGTAGGCCTTGTGCTCTCAAAATGCCCTCATAATCAGATAGCAGGAGAGCAGGGACAAGTCTGCATTCCAAGTCGTAGCCTCTGGAGGTGGCAGGAGAGTTCTACTTAAACATACTCGTATACTCTGGTCCTCCCCAACCTTAGCCAGCCAGTGCCCTTTTCAGAGTTAAGTGAGCAGTACAAGTTGTCTAGCAGATGACAGCAAAGAGCAGGGAGCCAAGAAACAATTGGTTTGGGAAGACCCAAGGATTTCCGAGACCTTTGAGATGAACACTTTAGGTATCTGCTGGAAATTGCACAAGCCTTTGGTCAGATTTTAAAGTTCTTTAGAAACGGATTCCCTTGCTGCTGCTTTCATTATTTATTTTTTTCCAGAGGGATGGGCAAAAATTAGTGAACAGCTGGTTGCTCTGGTGTCACTTGCTCATTCAAGTTTTTTAAATAGCTGAAATAGCAGCATGTTTATCACTTCCCTGGCATTTAGGAGTTTTTAGACCAGCGTTTCCCCGGCTTTATCCTGTTTCCTTAACTTAAGAGATGTCCAGGTTATCCTCATTCACACTTGGTTCCTTTCCCTGTTTCCTTCCACTGTTGCCTCTGTTTCGGTATGGATTTGACACAATAACTGGAGCCTCATGTTACTTTGTGTACTTTTTTTTTCTCTCCCCTTTGCTTTTTTAATGGAAATAGGAGGCAAGTGATAGCAAGTTGGTAATTCGATGGCCATAGCAACTGAAACAGTGACCTGTTAAAGGGTAGACGGAAGTTTCT